CGATGAGGGCTCATCTAGGTCGCGCCGTACGCGCGCTGTAGGAAAGGTACTCAGGGGGAGTTCGACGAGAGGCAGCGGGTTCACAAAAAGAACTTACCCGCGGAGAGGTACAAGAGGCTACGTAGGCACCGCTGTTAGGACTTAGCCATGTGAGAGCTGTAGAGAGGACGTAGTCGTGATACAAGGGAGAGAGGGGATTGGCGATGAAGTCGAACTGCGGCGCGCTTTTAAGTCAAGTTCAAAGTCCGACATGTTGAACTTAGCACGTGAGGCGACGCGCATCAGTCAGGCGCCGGTGATTGCTTCGTTGCTAAGGGTATATATATAGAATGATAAGATAATCCTCGGGTCAGTGTATCTCAGCAGGCGCTTCACTTATCATAAATACAAGTCTGGTATTCGGCTGGTAATGCGATTGTAGACGTGCTAAAATAACTGGAATATGCGCCAGCCACTACCAGCCGCGGGACAATTTGCTGATGTAGCTCATGAGCAAAAAGCAGCCTTCCAGCCACAAATAGCCATATTTGGATGTTGCCACAAGGCTAGCCTTCCCCCTTTTTCTTTTTTCTTTTTCTTTTTCTTTTCTTTTTACTGCAGTGGTATCATTATCGAGCCCTTTTGGAGCCATTCAAATTGGCATTGGGCTCACATGGTCCACGTGACTTTTAGGTGTCACTGGCTGCTCCATCTATCCAGCAAGTCTGTAGAACTCGCATTTTCCTTTGGTTCAACCTTACTGTGGTTCAGCAAGCGTTTACAGATGGCTATGATACACCCGGTGCAGATTTTGTAGCAATCAGACGTAAAATAACGAAGAGCGAAAATCAGCTTCGCTGAGCGAGCATGAGCCCCAGATCTTTTGGCCGGTCTTTGGGCTGTGCAGCAATGCTGTGGAGGTGCTGCCTGTGAGTACTTGAGTACTCATCCTTAAGCTTGACTGAGGAATAAGTACTCCGACCCGCCGGTGACCAATTGGATTCAGATGAGGTGTTACTTTAATACTTAGGGTCCCGACTATCCGCCGGCACCAGTCGTTCGGGCAGTCGGGTCTCACATTCCCAACATGAAGTCTGGTGGCGCTGGTGTAAGTTGTGGGTCCATCTACGTCGGTGATCTTGCTGCTGCCAGCAAGTATCGAAACTCCTGATCACACAGGCCCAATTTTCGCCCTTTCCGTCGCGGCGTGCAACAGGGCGGTCTGCGCAGTGTTCGGTCGGAGAGCTTCGTTCATTTTTCGATAGCTCTTCAGATCCAAGAGCCCACGTCGACCAGCCCATCTTCTTGTCATGCTGGCGACGTGGGCGGGTCGCTATAAAGCTGCATTCGTCTCTCGTAGGAGTCCTCTGCAATTCTTCTCCGAGCTACGCCACCGGCCCCGCGTGTGCTTCCGTAGCCTGACTTTTATGCGTTCGATACGTCCCGACAGCGATACCCTATTTCAGCCCCGCCAACGTTGGCTTTGCAACGACGAACTCGGTCTGTATCCCAATTTCGCCAATTAGAGTGCAGACCACCTTACGGGTTTACCTGTAATCCTCACAGAACGTGAAGTCCGATATGCTCATTCATCCAGATGCACTTGAACAAGTTGCGTGCGACAGCGTCAACGCCGAACATTGTACATCATGGACAGTGATAGGGGAAGGTAGGTTCCGAGTAATACTAAGTCCCCTGATGGTGTTGACATTTGCCATGTTTCTAGGCGCCTTCAACAGGATATTCTTACTACGATTTGACACTGGAGCGGAGGCAATTGCTCGTATTCCCTTGCCTGTTATAGGTAATGTTGAGCGAACCGTCGCCAGTGAAGTTGCTACAATGAGTTACGTCCGAGAGAGGTGGTCCGAGAGGTGGTCCGGGTCCTCTCGTGTGCCTCTGCCAAAGGTCTTAGCGTGGCACTCATCCTACGACAACCCCGTACAGATCCCCTACATCATCTATGAGTATATACCTGGTGTTCCGCTCAATACTCTTTGGCCCGTGATTGAAGGGAAAACGGCCGGTGCAGCCCTGCAGAGCATCGCCGAGCTGGAGCTGGCACTGCTCCATCAGGCATTCTCATGTCACTGATCGCTGTATTTTGCAGAAGATGAGCCAGACAGCCGTCCTCTTTATACAGACAACGAGTGCTATCCCGCAGAGGTAAATCGGGCATTAGCTGCCAAGTATGGCATCGGACCGACCGCGAATTGAGAATGGTGGCGCAGAGGCTACAGGGAAGTAGGTGCCAACCGGGGTCCTTGTAAGTTCTCAAGTTCAGAACATCTCCGGTGACGCAGTTGTGATACACTCCTACAGGGCCGGATATGCCGTCTATGATAATAAGTGCTGCCGAGTTCCAGCTACGCGCGTTGGACGGCCTTGTCGACGTCTCGTCCCCGCTCGTGAAGTCGAAGCCTGCGGATATACGGTTGCTGCGCCGTCTACTGGACACCTGCGTTCGCGTCGCGCCCCTCATAATTCCTCCCGACCCAGCCATGACTGCTCCAGTGCTGAACCACCCGGACATCTCACTGAACAACCTCATCGTCCCCCCAGATGGCAGGGCATATGCGCTCAGCGTGATTGACTGGCAAGGGGCGACCGTCTCCCCCTTCTGTATGCAGTGCGGCGTGCCCAATGCGATTTCGTACAGCGAGGACGTCATCCCGGTACCCAGGGACGGCTCGATGCCGCCTTGGCCCGATAATTTCGATTCGATGTCTCCGGAGGAGCAGCAATACATCCGCATGCATCATCGCTATGCGTGCCGGCATAGACTCTACGCTATCCTGATGCCCTCGCTGGACCCTTTGCGCAGTGACGCGTGGGTGCTCCGGCATTTTACTGCCCTAGAGGGCCTGGTACCCTTTATCACGCGCTGCATCTCCGACGGCCAGCTAGGTCTACAGGGCCTTCTAATTCGTCTGCAACAGTGCTGGAGGGAGGTCCACGACAGGCCTTGCCCCATCGATTTTTCGCAGGAGGAAATTTCATCCCATCACGAAGCAGCACAGACTGAGGCGCAGTTTGAACGTAACGTGCGGAGATTGCACAACATGGTCGACTGCATGAATGATGGGTCTGTTACCCCGGATCAGTTCGACAGTGCAAAGGTGACGATGGAGCGCTGTCGGAAAGAGTGGGACGAGAAGGCTATGAAGGGACTCTTCCCGTTATATGAGGGCGCTCATTCTTATTACCTTGTCTGATACTGCCGTGTTTGCGGACTTTCTTAGGTCGCTCGGCTACCCACATTGATTTCGGTGATCCACCTTGCTTTCTTACTTATCAGGCTTCTTTGAGTGTTGGTACTACTGATTGTCAGCAGTGACTTAGAAGTGACATGATTTAGCAAGGGAGACCTTTCAATCAATCCCCCAGCTTGCATTATTATACAGGACACACGAATAACCAATGTCTTTGTCGAACAAAGTGACAACCGCCCGAATATCCACTCTATCGTGGTGTCAAGTTGTGCATTTTGCAGACTAGCCCACGAGTAATTTCGACTGCCTGCTTCTCCAGCGGCACATACAAAACGCATTATTCATATCGAGCATGTATTTGCTCTTTAATCACCTATACACCTTCGGGCGGGAACGCATTGGGCGATACGAGCGGCTCTAGACTACTCCCACTTGCCACCAACATACCTTTCCATGTTTTTCACCGCAAGGTGCATCGACAGCAATATCGCATCGCACAAGTCTTGCCATGACGTGCCAGGCGGCATATCACCTTGCTTGTACTGCTGAATGAGGCGCGTGTTCCAGGCAAGATGTTGCGCGCTTTCTAGCAGCTCAGAGTCAGTGTGCATGCCCTTCTCTTCGGCTTCAGGATGGGAAATGGCTTTCTGCATCCACCGGTCTGCAGAAGTCGCGAAAGTCATTAGCGCCTCTCGCCCACGATTGATCGTCGACTCTGGTTCTACGTTCGCGGACCGAAATTCCTAGGACAATGAACGTGAGCCTCCGTGCAGATATTGAATAGAATTAGAAGTACCGACATTGAATTCCACACTCGGTGCGTATGAGGCCAGGAATTCCATGTTGGTGATGATTAGCTTGAAGTAGTCAACGGGGGTAAGGTCGGACCCTGGCTTGGCGTACATAGCGAACAGCTTCCATTCATTCTCCGGCTTGCACGAGTCAGCGCGGCCCTCGAGGAATTCTAGTAACTTTTCCTTGTCGTCGTCGTTCCATGAGCCCGTGTTACTCGCGCGAAGTGGCCGAGTCTTCTGCAACCGCACTGGCGCAGCGTCTATCACGAATGAGTATCTGAGAGTAGAGGCTATTTCAGGAGGTACACACTATACAAGGTTCTGCATGTCGCTGGAGCAACGGATAGGTTGTGCGAGGGCTGTCGCTACAGATGACGCGTAATGCCAGGGTATCAGACTCGTACTACAAACCAATCGTCCAAGAATGCGTGCTGTGGAAGCCGCCCTGCTCGACGTCCCAGACGCCTTTTTAAGACATGTTCGTGCCATTGACAACATCCTGAGTGCTGAATTTACCGAGTCTGAGATCTGAACGTCGAAGGCGCCTCAACGAGTGTATGAGGTCCAAGCTGGGCCAAGTGTGAGGCGATTGACTGCAATTGCGCTTTCGCACGGAGTGCCTATGTACCGCCACTAGCTACGTAGCAGCGTCGGGATCCTTTCCGGGCTGCGACCATATGCCGATCGTGTCTGTCTTCAGGCTCTCCGTCCTATCTGCTGGAGGCGTCTTTAGAAGTCGGAAGCCTTCCCTAGGACGACTGTTACACGAGGCTATGGCGCCAGCCACCCAGACCGTGAATACGACGGCGCGGTTAGCTGCCCTGCGGGACTTGATGCGCGGGAATGGCCCAGTGGATGCATATGTGGTACCGAGTGAAGATCAACGTACGTTTGCTGCACGTCCTGCCAACTGAACTAGGTTTGGCTGAGGTTATTATTTGGTAGACTCTAGCGAATATCTGGCGCATTGTGATGAGAGGAGAGCTTTCATTTCTGGCTTCACAGGTTCCGCGGGTGAGTAATCGTCATAGTAAGTCGAGAGGCAAATCCCTGACTGGTCGATGAACGTAAGGATGCGCTGTAATTACCTCTAAGGATGCCTATCTGTTTACGGATGGTCGATATTTCTTACAGGCCGAGAAACAGTTAGATGGGTATGTTATCGCTGCTCAAAGTTCTTTACAGTTTCCCTCATAATTACACAGAAATTGGAAGTTGATGAAGCAAGGACTCCCAGGCATGCCTGCTACTGTATTTTAGGTCCCAGATACTCATCTTATCATAGGCGTCCCGTCGTGGCAGGAATTCCTTGCGAAGGTCCGCTTCTCATGACATGCACATCGAGAAGGCAGCTAAGCGATCGATATTCCCTAGAATCTTGAACCTAGCAGCCGTATCGGAATTGACCCAACCTTAATCTCTGCAGGTACAGCCCGACCTGATGACCTAATGCCCTTCTCACTTCCTAAAAGCGGATGCCGATAGTCTCAAAGAGACCCTAATCCCGAAGAAGTCCCAGCTCGTCCCTATAGATATGAACCTAGTAGACCAAGTATGGGGAGCTGATCGACCGGCGCGCCCGAAGAACAAGGTCTTCCCTCTGGATATCAAATATTCAGGTAAACCACCTAGCCCCATCCATTCCCATTCAAAGGGATTTTGACTGAGCCCACGTTCACTAGGGCAGCCGCACCACGAGAAGATCAAGCAGCTAAGGGATGAGCTCACGAATCAGAAAGTCAAAGCTATAGTCGTGAGCATGCTCGACGAAGTCGCTTGGCTATTTAACCTCCGGGGCTCGGACATCGACTTCAACCCAGGTCATTATCTCTCCATCTTGGGATCTATAAGTGCGACTGAACTGAATTGTGTGAATACGCATAGTATTCTTCGCGTACGCGGTCGTCACCCACGACACGGCCGTCCTGTTCGTCAACCCAGAGCAGGTCGACGAAGCCGTGCGCGGGCATCTTGGCAGGGACATTGAGGTTCGCGCATATGACGAGTTCTTTGCGTACCTCAAGAGGCTCGTGACGGAGTTAGATGCGTCCGAAGATGCCGTGGGTCCTGTGCCCCCTTCAACCGCGGGCCACTATGTCTTACCAGGGTTTCAGCCTATTCTGATCAGTGATAAGACCAGCTTCGCCGTGGATCAGGCCATCGGTCAGGTAAGGCCGTTTGCCCCTTTGAATCAGAGAGTAAGGACTAATTGTAGGATCCTGTCCTGAAGGACAAAGTGCAGATCACTCGCTCTCCCGTCACAGATCTTAAATCCATCAAGAACGCGACGGAAATCGAAGGTTTCCGCCAGTCACACATCCGGGACGGCGCTGCGCTCGCGCGTTACTTCGCCTGGCTCGAGGAGCAGCTCAACAATGGGGTTGAGTTGAACGAGAGTCAGGCCGCAGATAAACTCGAAGAGTATCGCTCGTCAGTGGTCTTTCTTCGTACTCGGCTTTCTGAGACTGCATGCAGAGTTATGACGTGGGTGTATACTGCAGACAGCTGGATCTGTACAAAGGGTTATCGTTCACTACGATATCCTCGACGGGGCCCAACGGAGGTAAGATCGATGTATGCGCAAGTACTGGCTAAGCTTATCCGTCGTTCGTGTGTAGCCATTATCCATTACTCCCCTGATCCGAGCGACTGCGCGATCATCGAGAAGGACCAGGTATTTGTCCCTTACAAAGTGCAGATGTACCGTTACGAAATGTTTAACAGATCTACCTATGCGACTCCGGCGGACAATACCTCGACGGCACGACCGACGTAACCCGCACATGGGTAGGCATTCAGGGCTTTGTGACATTATTTCTAGCATAGTGCTGATACTGACGTGAATAGCACTTCGGCACGCCGACCGCGGAGGAGAAGAGGGCTTTCACGCGTGTATTGCAAGGCCACATCGCGATAGACACGGCTGTATTCCCCAACGGGACCTCAGGTACGGCTGCTTCTGCGTGGTGCAGTATTGCTAAATCACGTGCCATGGAAAGGTTATGTCATGTGAGATGTTCTCCTCTATTCAATTTGTCCCGGCGCTCAATTTTTGACAGCGATTCTTGGGCGCGGAGAGCATTGTGGGCAGACGGGCTTGGTAAGCGCCCATTGAGCGTCGACTGCATGCCTGTCTAATTACGGACCCCGCAGATTATCGGTAACGAGGGTTTCTGCTAAAGTTGTAACCGTGCTCATTGCTCATGGCCCCGTGTACAAGCCACGGGACTGGACACGGTGTTGGGCATTTCTTAAATGTGCACGAAGGTCCACACGGTATCGGTGTCCGGATAGGTGCGAACAATTGACGTCGCTGCCAATCAGTTTCCCGATTGACAACTGGCCAGCGTACAACAGCACCGCTCTCAAAGTTGGAATGACGGTATCCAACGGTACGTTTCCCCACTGACTGGCCCCATTCGTAGCTCATTGCTCCAGAACCCGGCTATTACGCTGACGGGCGCTTCGGGATCCGTATCGAGAACGTCGTTATCGTCCAGGAAGCTCAGACGCCTAATAACTTTGGAAGCAAGGGATACCTCCGCATGGAGCACGTCACAATGGTGAGCGCTCCCTTTGGAATGATACGCCCTGCAATGGTGCTCATCGCCGTCCAGTGCCCTATACAGAAGAAGCTTGTGGATCTGGATGTACTCACCCCTCAAGAGCGGGACTGGCTGAATCGGTATCACGAGGAGACATGGGAAAAGGTGTCACCCCTTCTTCAGAACGATAAGCGCGCATTAGAGTGGCTGAAGAGGGAATGCTCGCCCCTGTAATACTGCATCACGGTCATAACTATGCAGAGTTGCTTTTCCATGCTGTGACCGCTGGTGAGGTCGCCCGCAGACAGTATTTCCCGTGCGTGTGTCAGCGCACCCTCTTCAGTCTTCCTCTTTGCACCTCGAGGCGCTCTCACTGACAGACGCTAGAAATAGACGCCCTACGGACTGCGGCCTATTTTTGCGCTAGTTGCGTACCCTTCAACGGTTGACGTGTACATAACCATGAATGGAAAGGTCTGAATGTTCTGCTGCTTCACTTAAATTCCACCTCTGCGTTTCCCTGCCATCCCACTCCTTCCTCCCTTGCAACCCTCACTGCGCTAGTTGCGTCGTCGAGATGCCGGCGTGCGAGTGCGGTGAGACCATCACCGCCCGTCACCTGGAAGCCCATCGCCAGGGGAGGAGACATCGGGCGCGAATGCGGATCAAGCAGGGAAGCTTGCCCTTGCCAACGGTCAGCGATAGTGTTGCTGCTCATTCCAGCGCTGGTTCGCGGCTCTCTGAGACTCAGAGCGCTCGTGAACCACCGTCAGATGAAGCGGTCAGCACGGAGGGTCGTTCACGATCCATCGCGAGCGAGCATGAAACTCACGGCATATCCGTGTCTTGGGAAGACGGACTCATTGACTTTGGTATTCTGGAAGCAGCAGAAGTAGTCGGCAAGGATGCGTTGGCCAGGTCAATTATCATCACAAAGGTCCAGCAAAATACGTTGGTGTATCTCCGGGACGTGCGAGCGCGCAGCATTCATTCTGAAGACCAGCCGTAAGTTATACTCCGGCTGTGAAACCTGTGTCGCGGCCTCATATTATGCAGCTTCCACATCACTGGCGAATGCGTACCGCAGGGTCTCGACGTCGTGATACAGTACGGTATTCCTAGGGTGCTATCTGTTCACTTCTCCACCGCACGTGAAGGCAGGTTCGAGGGCTCAGTGGTATTGACCTTCTGGGACGCAAAGCAACGTCAACGGTTCACCATTACGCGTCAAATTCGAGCTGTCGTTGGATCACGTCTTGACCACGAGAATTTGAGACCCAGCGATCCATATGTTCGACCCGTACGCGTCCCGCTGCCTCCTGAGATACGTCCCATTCCCGCTCCTCGGCCTCCGGTTTGGACAGCTACCGAATGGGTCAACCGACTGGCTGAATACCCCATTCCGCACGCCCTAAAAGGTGATTGTCTGGATTCGGAAGTAATCAAGCAACGAATGCCGAACTCCCTCACCATGTCCTCATACAGCGACTGGTTTCAAACATTACTCTGGGCGGAAGAAGAAAAGAGGAGGTATGCAGATCGTTGGGACGTTTCCCCTTACTGACATGTATCGCGTAGCCTCGATTTGCAGATGTTCACAATGAAGGATACAGAACTGAAATACGACAACCCGAACTACAGGTTCTCGCTGTCATTTTTTGCCTGTTGGATGTTCCATTGATTTTCATGGTTGTGACGGCAGGTTAAGAATACCTGGACTGTTGGACAAGAAGCCAAGAATCATTGTGGGAGACAAAATAGTTGTCTTGCGGACAAGTGGAGAGAAGCCTGTATCTTGGGTGGGCTGCGTCCATGCTGTTAACGCAGACGAAGTTCGCCTTCGCCTGTCCTCCGACTTCAGCCTATTTAAAGGCAAAATCTTCGATGTCGTGTTCCAGGTAAACCGTATGCCATTGCGCCGCATGCATCATGCAGTTCTTTTTCAGCCTCGCCCCCAGCGACTCTTGTTCCCCCGGGCGAGGCACGTCCTACGACCTCCGGATCCTGTTGGTTCCGCTTTCGAAGAGATGGTACGCCTTTCTCCGCGGATTCAGGATGATCCAGAGAAGCTCAGGGCGGTCTGGACAATTGTGAAACAACCTCGCGGAAGCGTGCCGTTCGTCGTCTTTGGACCGTGAGTCTCATAGTACAGCCTTCCCTTGATAGTTAATGACTTTTATGCTGGGAAGGCCCGGTACAGGAAAGACTACGGCAATAGTGGAGGCCATACGTCACTTGCTGAAGGAAAATGACGACCATCGAATCCTGGCGTGCGCTCAGAGCAATCGCGCTGCTGATACTATAGCGTGCAAACTATTAGGAGCAGGCCTTACGGATCACGCGTTGCTGCGACTGAACGCATTGTGGCGACCGACAGCGGACCTTCCCGGAAAGTTGTATCCCATTTCTCCAATCAACGGAAATGATGTCTTCGCCATACCGGGCCTGGAGGATTTGGTAGGGTACCGCGTGGTTGTCGTCACTTGTGTTTCTGCAGGCATAGCTAAAGGTCTCGGTGTAAAGCGTGGTCACTTCAGCCACATATTCGTCGATGAGGCCGGGCAATGCGCAGAGCCAGAAGCCATGGTTGCAATCACTCCACTGGTAGATGAACGCACGAACATTATCCTCGCAGGTGACCCTCGTCAACTCCCACCTGTGATCACATCTCGTGCTGCAGCTACTCTAGGGAAGAGTTACTTGGAGAGAATTATGAACCTGGATATATACGATGTCCATCACTGGACGAACATCACGTTAGTGTGGCCCGAGCTCTGTCGCACCACAATACTAACCGTTTCTATAGTGTTGTGAAGCTCCTACGCCAGTATAGGAAAGTCATACGAACTCAGATCCGTTTGCAACTCATGTTCACTTACGCAGATCTCACGAAGCTATCTCCAATTTCTCGAACGTACAGTTCTACGATGGAGAATTGCAAAATTGCGGGGATCCGTCCATTACCCACAAGTTCCTCTGTTCCAAACTCCTCGTGACACCTGGGTTCCCCGTGATATTCCATGGCATCACCGGAATGGAAATGCGAGAGGGGAGCTCTCCGTCTTTCTTCAATATTGACGAAGCCAGTTTAGTCAGGACGTATTGCGAGAAGCTTAATGCAGAGTTCAAAGATCTGAGTACGTCTTACATATTTCATATTAACTCGCCACTGCGTTCATAACTAAGAACTTTTTGGCCACAGCCGCGGATTGTGTTGGAATCATCACTCCGTATCTCGCGCAGCGAGGAAAGATATTGAAGATCTTACCCGAGGCCTTCCAAAAAGTGAAAGTAGGGACAGTGGAAGAATTTCAGGGCCAGGTACGTGATCGCGCCCCCTCCGTGCGCCTGTCGCGACAGCTCTGACAGTATTCAATGGTTGTATTGGTTAGGAGCGCATGGTGATCATCGTATCCACTGTAAGGAGCAAACCAGGTCACGTCGGGGGCGACATCCGCCACGCGCTTGGCTTTGTAGCCCAGCCGAGGCGCACGAATGGTACGCTGTATCATCTCATCGATTGCCTGCTCCACAAGGCTGAATCCCGTATTTCAGTGACACTCGTGGGCGAGCCTTGCTCATCGTTATCGGTGATCCCCGCATACTATCCCTTGACCCGACTTGGCGTAATTGGCTGAGATACGTGCAAAGTGGAGGGGGTGCGCGTGGGCAACCTATACCGATGGAATATCTGTATAACGAAGGCGAAGGCGGGACGCAGGGCGAAGGCGGGTCTTCTGCCGCAGCACAGCTGGCCTATGGCAAGGACACGGAGCAGATGCAGCGCCTTCGGGCAAAGATCGTCCGGCGCGAGCAGTACGAGGGCATTCCAGGAAATGATTCTGACTGCGAGTCTGACTTCTGAGACCTTGCATCCCGATAACGGCGCGGCCCTCTGTAAATCGGCGTTGATCAGGAGCATATCTGCACATGCTCCTCATCACCGCAGGGATGTACAGAGCGCTACTTACGATATCAATATTCTTGTCGAGTCTGCTCGAGCTCGTCCTCGTATAACCTTCGATGCACATTAAAGACGATCGCAGTGACTAAAATATTCCCGTTTGTTGTGTACATTATGAACACTATCGGCGACGAGACGACAAAACTGACAAGAATAACGACAGCAAGCAAGATAGGGTAGCAGCGACGCACGAATACACATGTCCATCCTAATAGTTACACGGTTGATTATACCGACTTGACTCTTATTGATTTCTCATAAATTTGAGGGTAATTCCGGGATAGTCTCCTGCCTTGATATGTCGTCGCCTCCAGCGGCCTGCTGCATCGGGGATGCAACGCTGTTTGTCCGACTCCGCGGGATTAACGTACCAGTCTCGGCAACGCGGACACCACGTTCGACACTTTCCCTTCTGCTATGACTGCGGCTGATGCTTCTTAAACTTCCCGCAGAGTCGCCTGCGGCGTGTCCTGGTCGCCGCTCAAAGCTACCACGTCTCTGATAGGAGTTACGGCGGCTACGGGATTCGATTGGCGACAGGGAAGGGTCCCGCTGCGAGGTATGATAAGATATCACCGGTGATCCGTACGATGACGACAGGGACGGCGGAGGAACAGAAGGATAGGACAATGTATGAGAGGCTGGGTACGGAGCCGGGGGATTGGAGGTAAGCGAGGCGGATGAAGGAGGCGTGGTAATGGATGTCTCGTTTGTCAGGAAGCTAGCTGGATTGGTGGAAGTGACTGGAGAGAGAGGGAAAGGCGAGTCAGCAGACGACGGAGAGCGGGATAACGGAGTCGTCGTTTCTGACGGGATGTTGTTGACCGGCCGACGGATTTGCGAAGGTGGTCGAGGTATTGGCACGCCGGCGGGCGGCTCGCGGGGAGGCTGGGCAGGAGGTAAAAGCATCATGGACGTTGACGGAGATGAGCTCTGTGAATACGTCCTCAGATGTATAGGCTGAGAGTATGGATCCATTGTAGACAGTCCTATCAAGTTGTCCACAGGCAGTCCGAGCTTCCGCAATCCGTGCACATTAGTCCAATTACGAGCGACTTTCGAAAGGAACGCTTACTCTTCGGCGATGATCGATCAGCTCTTCCCGGTAGATGTCGTTCAGCCTCGACACTCGAATGTACTCCCGCTCTGCCTGTGCCAACCTCCCTCTCAACTGTTCGTTCTCCTTCCGCAGAGCATCCATTATGACCTCTGTACTGGGAGCAAGCGGATCGAACGAAGACATGAAAGCTTGCATCCCTGCTCTATTCTCAGCAGGCTCAGTGCTACCAGAGCCATTCTCCTGAGCCGAATGGTTCTGGTGTTGTTGCTGCTGGGCAAGTCGCAATGCTGACAGCTCTCGGGTTAGCCGATTCACCTGAGACTCTGATTCCACTTCTCGGATGTTCTCCAAAGCAACTTTCTCTTCCCTTAGCTACGAGCAAAGAGGCTTAGTGGTATATATCACAATGGAGTACATAGCTGTGAACTCACCTTCTCTAGTTTTCGCGAAAGCAGATTAATCAGGCGCTCCTCCTCCGCCTCGTACGCATTGATCAAGTCCTCCTCCCGCTTCGTGCTCGACACCGACAGTCTTCGGATTGGAGGCGACAAGGACATGGTATAACGTAGGACCGGTGGCAGAACGGTTTAATGACTCGAAGGCTTGAAACGAAAGCTAGAACGTCCGATACAGCACCGAGCTCATGACTGCAGACGTCACTCAAAATATCTTTTATCCCATATAATTTACGTAATTACGGACGCAGTGGCAAGAATAACACCGACGCAACCAGAACCCACTCGGGCCCATAGCAGAGAATAGTATATAGCGGACACAGAACTCAGAAGTCATATCCTTCTACCTTAAAGACTCGCCCGTAATTCAGATAGCTGTCCATGATTTTCTGGATCGGCTCCGGCAGACCCATGCTGAGCATTGTGTATGCAAGCTTAGCATGGCCATGGATCGGGTATAACTTGAAGAAACAGCGTGCGACCTGCGTAGGGTACTGAGAACAGAGCAAGTTAGCTCCCGAAACGCCTAGCAACGACAACGACAAGAACCCACCGTCATTTCCGCATATTCCGCGTATTGATACGCAGCAACTCGAATAGCCATCTGTAGCGAGCGCTGCAGATCCCCTTCGTCTGCGTACATATCCAGCAGTTTTGACCATGGTTTATAGGAGAATCGCTGGCTTTCCAGGCACCGTTGATAAGCTTCTTTCGCCTCCTCCTTGTGATGCAGTCGCAGCCCCAAGTCACCCAGGATCTCCCACTCCAGGGCCGTTTTTCTGTATGCAACATGTTGGGTCTTGAAGTGGGCCACCTCAGCGCGGAAGATCGTCCACACTCTTAGATCCTAGCAGACTCGTCTGTCCACGATGAACAACCCAGCACTGAGCAAAACACACACCTCGTATAGCACCATGAACAGATTGTCCAGCCAGCGCTCACAGAGTCGCTTATTACTGAACGAGAAGTCACTCTGCTGCGTTGCACCGCTCTGAGCACCTCCGCCCTCCTGGTCATCACCAGCTGCTTGCATCGGCTTCTCCAGAACGTCACTTGCCACATCCTCCTCCTTCCCTTCCTCACTTTCCTCCTCTTCCCTTGCACGGTCCGACTCCGTGGAGATACGTATAGTCGGGATCGCCGGCGCCGCACTCAGACCGTCGTTCTCGCCCGCATTCCCCTGGCTTGACACCGATCCCTTCTGGCTTTGCGACACAACGCCTCTTGTTGAAGCGTCATCGTCCGCGCCCCCTGTCGTGCTCGCGACGAGCGTCGACCCGGCGACGGTGCCGTCCTCATGAATGACGGTCTCGCCGACGTCACTGTTCGAGCCCTCGGGCGCGTCGCCGCCGTTCACGTGCGCGTGCTCGGCTTGCGCCTTTTGCATGCGGTACTCCTCCTCCATCACGAAGACGGAGCTCCGCGTCTTGAGCAACTCGTCCCACCCGATGCGGGAGACGAGGCGGCAGAGGAGAGCGTAGGCTCGGGCCCAGGTTCCACGTAAGCCGGGCGAGGGCAGACGCTGCAGGGCTGGGTCCGCCTGAGTTGGGCGGATCAGTTGAGAATGATACAATGAAGGTACCGAAACGCACTTCGTCGTCCTCGGTCTTCTGTCGTTCCGGGAGGATGTCGGTTATGGGGCGTTTGGACGGTAGGTGGACTCGAGCAGGGGTCAATGGACGGTGCGCATCGCGTCCGTTGTAAGTAAACATCGGACACGAATTGAGAGTGAGCAGTGCCTACAGGCAAACCTGAGCATACCAGAAAGACGGTATGCGGATACAGCGACTCACAGACTCATACTGCCCAAGATCGATGTACAGCTCCGTCAGCTTCTCCCATGTAACGAATTCACTCGGAGCACAGTTAACGGCCTGCTTTGCGAGTTGTAGCGCCCACTCAAGCTTGCCCTTTGACCGGAGGAAATCGCATTGTACGTGAAGCAATGTATACGACTGTGGCGTCGCTTTCATGGCTGCCGACATGATCTGCACGGCCTTCACCTCCTCGTCTTCCCAGGGTCAGCACACAAACGCGAACAACCGCAACGGAGACTCACTCATGCCGATATAACTCCTCGCTAGCAGTGAAGCTACTTCGGGCTCTTTAGCAGTTAGTTTCTCAAAGAGGTTCGCAGCCTGTTGCCACCGGTTACTATCACCAAAATACTTGAGGATTCCTGCTGTGAGATGATTCGAAACCACGGTGGCAACTTGGATCTCCGGGTCCGAGCCGACTTGCCAGCCTAGCAGGAACCGTTCAGCGAAAGCGAACCAATTACGAAGTGGGGTTTATGGGACCTTTCAAGAACAGCTGCTCAGCAGCTTGTAGGAATCGGAGTTCCCCCTCGGGCGTCGTGATAGGGTCCAGTTTGCGGTAGGCATCGAGGTAGTAAGTGGGGTCGTCGGAATAGAGAATGGCCCGGAGGAGGGCGGACAGGTAGGTTTCTTGCCATATCTCAGGGGTAGCTTCGTGTCTGTATTCCGGGTTTGAATCTTGCATGAGGGGGAAGCTGGAGGGACGTACCTCTCGCCGCGCAGGTCAACCACATATGTGTGCACCCCTCCTGGAATCTTGACGTCCACGCGTATGTCAACCCGAGAGAAGGAATTAAAGCAGCTGCATGTCTCATAAGCTGGTGGATTGAATTCCTAGAGAGCAAGCATACCAGTAGCAGCCATTGCGCAGCTTCCAAGTAGGACCTTTCGAGAGCCAGCCGCTGGTATCTTCGATAGCATACGTGAGGGAATTGATGTATGCGGCGAGGGATGCGGATGACGACGCATCAACCCCAGAAACAAAGTGATATGACCCAAGCTATCCAGTCCAGCTGAGCAACGTCGCAGACAGTGAGATTCACGGTGCAATGTACGCACATCCCGCTGGCCTGCTTTCCCCGTACTTTTCACGACGTGACACAGATCCGGAGGTCCCAGTTCACGAAACGTAGCTATGGGTGTTGTAAGTCGGCTAAGATGTCGCGGTAAACGCAAAGGCTCACGAACATAGACTCTCGGTACGCGCAGTTATTGATTCACCAAGGTCGACCTATGTATCATGTCGGACTTTAACCACCGTGTCATGCAGCAACACTTACCTCAAAGAGCTCCGGGATGTCCTTGAACGTGGCGTCCGCCATGTTCAACGACGACGACCCAGTGTGGAACGCGTCGTATCGGTGTTGGTGGTCGTGGCGTCGAAAGTGCTATAATAAGTTGGTCCTGACCGTCACTGTTACTGTCTACCTTTTCTTTCCTACCCTCAGCACTCGTTCACCACCGCTGCCAACCCGATCGGACGTGCTACGTTGCAGATTCTCTGGCGACGCAGCGCTCTTATTCTCTACTACTGTACTCCATACATGTACGCCACTCAAAACCATCGTCGAATTGTTAGTGGATCTGCCCTCAGGAGTGTCACTGCTGGGTCTAATGGTATTCTCAATAGCACGAACGAACGACAGGCGTGTGCTTGCTCAAAAGGCTATGGAGTCGACCGTAGCGCGCTTCAATATGGATACATGAGAGCTCTCCTACTCTTGTAGGCCTTGGCGGTCTGATCCATGGACTGACTGTACCCGTTCTACCGCAAGTCCGTTACAGGCCTTAGGTATGCTATCAGGATGGGCCCTTCATGCATGGGAGTAACGGGATATGACGGTAAAATACCGCGCAGAAAATTGGCTGTATGGGCTCAGTATCTTGCCTACCTAGCACTGGAGCAGGACGCTCTTCACACAGATTGAGACGTTCGTGAACTCTCTGTTCATCCCTCATCTCATTTCTGTGATTGGAGACATTCGTAAAGTCCAGCTTTCTCTTCATCTCCTCCTGTGTCCTTCCTTAGCGAGCCAAGGATCCCTCGATTGACGACCAGATAGTCGTGGTCGGTGAAAGTAGACTGGCGCGGATGGTCCATTAGGTGGATCCCTCGGCCAAATACAGGATTACCTACGAGAAGTCTGCAGGTTACAGGTTTGGACATTCCTTCACGACAATGTATCACTGGGGCTAGGCTGTAAACCCCGGGTCTTTCTCCATCTGTCCTTCTCCGCCCTTGTGCCTTCTATGCCTGGCTTCGCTGGACGCCATTCGAGAGCGTGAGGATTTCGTCCGCAAAATTGGGCGCCTTGAATATTACTCCCTACCTGGCAGATCCTCGCTCAATGCAATAGGATACTACCCCAGAACTCTAGGGCGTTCCTGTTGGAGCGCCCTTCCACTCAAGTTGATGCGACCGCCTGTTCTATTTGCTCCGCTACAGATGCATGTGTGACCAGGTTCTGCCCCCGGTCTCGTACCTCATTGCTCACACTATTGTTACTTCTCTAGGCTTCGAATGGTCTTCGCAGAGTGAGCCACCTTTCCTTGGATTCTTATGCTCCGTATTTCCCGCTTGCGTCCTCTTCATACGAAATAGGAGCCGCCTCATCGAGTCATGCCTGTCCGTAACAATAACTTACCATTTAGATACCCGCTTGCTTGAGGCGAGCGCCTGAATTGGTTCGTCGCAGCAGCTGGTAGCCAATATCCCGCGCACGTAAGTCCTCGCTCATCGCTCATACTCTTCCAGATCACTGCTACGCATGTGAATACCCCGCGCGAGCATTCATAGAACACCTTGAGCGCGTCCACTGCGTTAATACCAAGAGCGCATGTGACAATCTCTCTGAATCCGGTGCAAGGCCGGCGTACCACGCGAGTGTTGTATATCCAGACCCCTTCTAGCTAAGCGGCGCTGGTAGGTGCCGACTTCGCAGCCCATGCTCCAAGAGGCTACTCTACTTTCCTGCCATAATGGACACGCAGTTGCTGGTTCTCTACTTCTTTGCTTCCGTCTTGACTCAATCTTGGCTGCCATCTGAGACTTCCCACCTTACGGGACAATAGTCGGACCTGCGTCTTCCCGCAAAGTGCCATTATCTATGGGCGGGTCCTGAGTTGCGCTCCCGGTTCCTGATTCCATTACCGGGTACACCGTCGGATTCAGCAGACACTCGAAGCCTAGGTGTACTTAATCTTGTTCTTATGGTCCCAGATGCCCGGTACTCATCCCGTCATGCCATCCATTTCTGATTTAACGTCTGTTAGCCTCGTTCCATTTTGGGCGCGCTCATCACGGTCCAAATATGCCTGTTGAATGCCCTCGCCCATGCGAAAGATTACCCGGATATTTCCCCGCCCACGGCCCCGAAGACGCTACCTCACACTTCTCTGATGTTGTCCATATCCAATACTCCACACTCGAAAGCGCGATTGCCTATCGGACCCGCCGCTCATCCGTGCCTCCACCTGCTCGAGCAGCCCAGCAAGCCTGTTAAGGCTCTCAACGAGCTTCTTCACCGCCTTGGTCTGCGCTTCTAGCTGGCTGGTCTTTTCCCGCTCTTCGCTCTTGGCCCATCATCCATCCATCTGGCGTTCTGCTCCATTCCTCTCGAGTCTGACTCTGACTTGGCCTTGCGGGAAGAGCTGGGGGCACCAGGATGCCCAAGGCACCGAACCACAGCCCTCGCGTCTCCACCGTCCATTCCCAAATCGCATCGGGTGGATTGGTCTGCGCGCTAGTGTCTCCTTATCTGATCTTCCCAAATCACCTCGACGGGATATCCTTGTTGCCCGAGAAAGATCAATCACATTCCCTGATTGGCCGCATCGGTCACCGATGTGTTCGTTGTCGCGTTGTTGCCTGCCCACTCGTCGACGGCGCCGGCCATCCTCCACCACCAACCCGAAAACCCTTCACATCGCGGTGCCTGTTGCCTGCTGTTCTGATGCGGTCGCGCGCGGTGGGAGCAAATCGTCTCGAAAATCCGGCTGGCTTCTCCAGACGGTGTTCCAACCTTATTATCCGATGCCATTATGTTCGCATCGCCGGGGCCCGTTCTGCTCGTCTGCATCATCGGTGGCTTGTGCAGGGCTGACTGACGACGACTCGTGTGCACATTGAACAGCCCCGCTGCCATGTACCGACCGGGGCCGACGCGCTCTGAATGCCATGCCATGTGCGGCCCTTGTCTGGCGTGGCCGCATCCACATCCCACCCATGCTGTGCAGCTACATAGCATGGGAGAATCCAAACTCTAAACCCCGTCTATCTGCGCCGCGCATCCCGCCATTGGGTATCCATAGGACCCCCGATAATTGGTATAAATGCCTGATCAGGTTCCGGACAAATTTTGGGACTTTAGAGCCCTCAATGGCTGGTTTTTTACAGACAAATTGGCCGATTCTGGAGAATAGGCCTGATTTTTTTCCGGACATTTTGGTCAGACTTGGCCATTTCGACGCTATATTTACCCCGGCACCTGCCGGGGAAGCTAAATTTGGACGTACCCACGCCACAGTTGCCTTTTAGAGCCACTTTTTCGCTGTGGTGCCTGTTTTTTTCCGGACAAAAGGTCCAAAATCGGCGATTTTCTTCCGGACAAAATGGGTCTACTTATGGGTCCTCGGGATCAGGCATTTATACTGATTATCGGGGGTCCTGTATCCATCCTGATGGAAGGCGCATACGTACATCCGTGCTCGTCGCTGGGACCGCCGGCAGCTCGGTTGTTTCATCGCCTTTTGTTAACGTTCTTGGATTAGTGTTCTCGGCTTGGCGGGTGTTTCCCCTCACTCGCGATCGGGGCTGAGGCCTGAGGGGTGCCAGGACTTGGGATCGGAGACTCCGTTGTATTTCCAACGTTTTGCTCGCATATTCGCGTCTGCACACACATTTGTACGAGGAGGGAACCAGCCAAGCATATGTATTCAATCATCAAGCAGTTCCAGCTCAATCCCATGCGCATCTGCAATAAGACAGAAAATCCACTCGTTTCATCCCATTCGTTCGTTCGTTCGTTCGTTCGTCGCGTACCCGTAGATACGTATATAACCCATGGCCATACATACACCCCATGACAGAAAGCAAGCGGATCGGCGGCAGATACTTGTACAAGAAGTAAGAAAGTAGAGAAAGAAAATAGAAAAAGCAGTGGAGCAAAATCGAGCATAGATACTACGAGTGAGGGAGATGGCGGCGGCGAAAGCGGATGGCGCGTGAAGTCAGGAAAGCGGCGGGCGGGCGGGCGGCGGTCGTGAGGGAGTGCGGGGGAAAGAGGGATGGATAATACAAGCGCGCGTTTTGGGGCGCGCAGCCGCAGCAGCGGCGACCAGAGCACCGACCCCGTCGCGAAGCGCATCACGTCGCCAGCACCTTCGCCTCCCCGCCGACGCGCCCATCGCGGCCGCGCCGCCCGCGCTCCTCCTCGCCGTCCTCGCTCTCCGTCTCCACCTCCATCTCGACGTCGCCCTCGCCCTCGTCGACGCTCTCGAGGCGGCTGCCGCTGCGGTACCGCCCGCGCCGCCCCTCCTCTTTATGCTGGTGGTCCGGCGGCGTCGGCAGCGAGAACCCCGCGTCCTCGTGGAGGACCATCTCCTCCGGGCCCTCCTCCTTCCCCGACGAGCCCGCGGGCGGCGCGGACCCCGCGCGGTACGCCTGCAGCTGCTGCTCGAGGTCGCGGTTGCGCGACGCCTGCGCGGAGACGAGCTGCTGGAGGTACCTATACATTCCGGGTCGGCTCGTCAGCCATCTTTGTCTCCATGCATTCCCGTAGCCCTTAACCCCCTCTCCCCCCGTTTCCCCACCAAAACACCGACGGGGAGAGGGAAACAGAACAAAGAAAACCACCCACCTGATATACTCGACGCTCTTCCTGAGTATCATGCCCTTGTTCGCCTTGACGCCGGCACCCTCGCCGTCCTTGTCCTCCTTGTCCTTGTCCTTGTCCTTCTCGGCCGCGCCGCCGGGCGTCGGCGGCTCGGGCGGGCTGAGGAGGTCCGACTCGGTAGGGGTGCTTGCGGGGGCTGGGGAAGATGCATGTCAGTTCATCGCCTTAAACTGGGGACGAAAGCAAGGGAAAGCGAGGAAAGGGAGGAAAGCCACGGACCGTTCACGTCCAGCATGCACTCCGGTATGAGCGTCGCGAGCTCGCTGATCTTCTCGTTGATGTTATCCCTTCTGCGGCGCTCGACGGCGTTGTGCGACTCGCGCCGGCGGCGGCGCTTCTCCGAGGCGAGCGCGGCCCTGCGTCAGCGTCAGCGTCGCACGCGCGCGCGCAGCGAAAAAGGAACGCAACACTCACTGCTTCGCAGCCACGTCGTCCTCGTCCTTCATCATCACGCCCATCAAGCCGACGTCCTTCGGGCTGACGCCGATGCTGCCGACCATCATCCCGTTGACGCCGCCGCCGCCGCCGCCGCCGTTGACCATCCCGCCGAGCATGCCCCCGCTGAACCCGAAGCCGCCGAGCGAGTCGGGCGTGGGCAGGAAGTCGCCGCCGAACCATGCTTGGGGGACGGCGCGCCCGGGGATGACGATGCCCGGGCGCGGCGGGGGCGAGGTGCCGCTGACGCTGTTGCGCTTCTGGCGCGTCGTGCTCGCGGTGCGCGTCGGGCCGGGGCCGGGGCCGCGGCTCCTGCTGCGCGAGCGGTGCTGGGCAAAGTCGTAGGTGTTGTTGTTGGCGTTGTTAGCGGTGGGGTCGGCGGGCTCGGGCTCGAAGCGGAGCGAGGAGTTGAGCGCGGGGAGGGTGCTGTTGAAGTTTGGGTGGAAGGATTGCTGGTGGTGGTGCGGGTGGGCGTCGTGGATGGGGGTGTGGGCGTTGAGGTTGAGGGAGGTGCTGGCGGAGTGCGGGGGGAGCTGGGCGAGGTGCGAGGGCGGGGGAAGCGAAAAGTGCGTCGGGAACCCGTTGTTGTTGTTGTTGTGGCTATTATTTCCGTTGGCGTGCGGCGCAGAAATGTCAAAGATGTTGTGGGTGTGGGCGCGGTACTGCTCGTCGTGCGGGTAGTGATGGGAGTCGGGGCTGTGGCTCTGGGTGGAACGCTCGTTGCTGAGGTGCTGCGGCGGGGGCGGGGGCGAGTGGACCATGAGGCTGGCGAGCTCGTCGCCAAAGTCGGAGGCGGCGGAGAACTTGCGGAAGGCGTCGGGGACGGCGGGGAGGGCGAGGTCGAACGGCGGGGACGGGTGGTCGCCGGCGGGCGAGAAGCCCTCCTGGCGGATGGGCGCGGGCTTGTACTGCGGCGAGGCGTGGGCCTGGGCGGGGAAGAAGGACATGATGTCGGTCGGCAGGCGCGGCGGCGGCGGCGGCGGCGGCGTTGGGAGTGCCAGCGTGGACTGGGCGACGTCAGCGGCGGCGGCGAGGGCGATGGCGGCAAGAGCACTCACGAGTTGGAAGCCAAAGTGGTAGAAAGCAAAGGGCGCGGACCGCCAGGTTGCGCTGCCTGGACGAGCGAGCGAGCGAGTCTGATCAATTGCAATTCCCCCGCCTCCCCCACACTCGCCCCGGCCCCTCGGCACCCAGATTTCCCCGCAAACACCCCAAAACACCCAGGCACACTCTCCCTCCCTGTAATCACACTCGCCAAACATCGTGCGTCATCGACCGGCGCGGCTCCGAGCGGCCGGGGCCATCAAACCAAGCTCCCTGCGCCCGACGCCCTCCCGATCGATCACCCACACTGTAAGTGACTCTTGCCCTGCTCGCCCCCCGACTGTCGGCCCGCCCGCTATTGGCGGGACCCACAACACCAATCGTGATGCTAATGACAGCGACGCGGTTGGTCTCGGTGACAAGCACGGCACATCGCTCACCCATCGCTGTTCATTTTGCGGGGGGCTTGGCGGTCGGGCCGCCGGCACTTGCGCCGCCCTGTCCTCCCTTGCGCTGCATTCCAGCCTGGAATTCGAGCCGTCGAGCTCCTGTCGTGAACGAACCCCGTTTCGTCCACCGGGAATCGCAAGACGGCGCTCCCTTTCATCTGTGCGCCACCATCCAATGTCCCAGCTCCCTTTGTCTCTACGCGCATATAACACCCCATCTCACCCCCGTGCCACTCCCCCAGGTCCCCCGGGCTCTCTGGGTGTTCCTCGCTTTCGTGCATATATGCATCACGACCTGAGAGGGACGCCCGAAGAGCCCTCGGGACGACGCAGCCAGCGATACTCCCCGGACACACTAGAGCAGCATCGTACGCTTCCCTCTCCCTCCGCTCCTCCCATCAAAACAACTGCTCGCGCCTCGACTTTGCCACGTAACCCCGGGCTCCCCAGGTGCCCCTTGAGATTCCCGTCGCGGTGAATTGAAAGGCCACCTGAAGCGCCTCCGGGAAGACGCGCATATACTAGACTGGGAGGGACCCCGCTTGCCGGAGACGGGAGGGACATCGTACGTTCGCGTTTCCCGCATCAATATACAAAGACTACATTCCTCCTGCCGCGCACTTATCCTTCTTCCCCACAATGGAACCGGCCGACCGCGCCCCCCCGACCCCCGGCGGCCCTGGACATCCTCGCAGCTCAATACCCCTGCGGGCCGTGCCCAAAAAGGCCCGCACCGCAGGCGCTGCTCAAAGTAATCCACCCCATCCCTCTTCGCTTGCGCTTATGATTACACACCCACATGCTACCATGCGGACGGACGCTCTGCAGCTTGGGAAGGGAACCGCCCGGCCTGCGTGTGCGGGGACTTGTGCTGCTGCTACATAGGCAAGGCGCGAGGCGGGTACTTGTAGCCCGCGCGTCGTCAGTGCATTTGCCTTTCTTCAGCAGTGCCGGTGCCCGGGCAGCGAAGTCGGAGGTAGTGCATACGTGCCCCGTCTCGAGGCCCCCTCCCCTCCCCCCCGGCCCTGGCATGCGAGAGTACTGGTTCTGTGTGTGGTCCTGCTCTGCACTAACTGCCCTATCGCATCGCAGCGGTAGAGGGCTGACAATCCCCCCCCCATTTCCTTTCCACTTCTTCATGATTCATGGCAGCCTCGAATTCCTTACACCGGGCTCACAGCACGCTCCGTATGCACATTTTTTCGCTTTCGCAGCAAGGAATGAATGAATAGTACTGTACATGTATAATAACCTAATTGCTTCGTGGCCAATATTCATTAATCAGAGCTGGGTCTCGGTAGAATAGAATAGAATGTACTGTATGTATAGTCGACATACTATACCATACCCGCCTGCGTGTGCATGTATGAATGACACATACGATGACGTCCCGGGCCGGATCTCAAAGTCCCGCCCTGACGGCGTGCACTTCGAGTTGTCCCTCCTCGCGAGCATCGTTCGCCCGGTCCCTGCGCCTCGCACTCAACCCCGCGCAAGTACAACTCGCGGCCCGCTGACCCGGCGTGCGATGATGAGCCAGCGCCATCCCATCCACGTCCACGTATGCACATAACGTTACCTTCCCCACCCCCACCCCCGCACTCAGGCTTCCGACAGATCGTTCCGCGGCGCCAGATCTCCGGGACTCCGGGCCACTTTGTGAACTCGAAGCTCCGCGTCCGAGCGCCCGTCTCCGTTCTGCTACTGGCAAACGCCATGCATATGTATCATACAAATCCAAACCCCGGGAACGCGGTGCCTGTGGGTGCGTCCGTTCTGCACGGAATAAAGCCATTGATCGCAGCTGAACCACCCGAACGCACCAACACTGCCACTCACTCACTCCCAGCCGGAAACACTGACAGGAAGCGGCCTGGTATGGAGTCACCCTGAGTCCTGACAAACGCAGTGAGGGCCTTCAGTGATCCATGATCCATGATCCATGATCCATGCACCGACTGCCCAGTCAGCACCGTGGCGGGCCGGATGATTCACTGGCTGCTATGCAGTAAGTCTGTCGTCTCACATGCGGCGTCCCAGGCTCACCCACCCACATCGAGCGCAGGAAGCAGCTTCCCGTAAGTAAGCAGAAGCAGCCGGGACTTACGTCGTCGGAGTGACGGGGCGTCCGGGATCCGTGAATGGTGGGAGAATCTCAGCGCCGTATGTACCGGCATGCATGATTCAACGAGCGGGAGCGCTCATCCTCCGCTGGTGATACATACCGTCGTCGTTCGGGACTGCCGCCGAACCTCGTCGACACGCGTGTCCTCGGACATGGCCGTGCCCCGAGACGTCGTACCAGCCGTGTACGCGGCTCGAATACTTGTGAGCTTCTCACCTATGCTGACTCTAGACCTCCAAATACCCGTCCCAAGTTCCGCCCGCTCGCCAAGCTTACTCTGCCCTGGCCCATGGGGAGGACGTCCTGCTTCACTCGATACAGATGACGTCAAGCGTTTATGCTCTGCGCTTCGTCGCCTTCGCTTCGGCTTCATTGTTGCAGGGAAATGCACCGTCATCGTCTGCGTCAGAATTTGCAAGAGCGCAAATGACATGAAAGGACTCACAGTATGTTCCGTCAGGCCGTGACACCCGAAGCAAGTACGTTATTCGAGTGGTTCTGACGGTCGGGTCCAGTTATCATGTCATGGAACGATCAGGATGCAGCTTCAAGTTCTCCCCCGCTCACCAAAAGTCTTGCGGCGCTGCCAACCAACCTCGCCCACGGACGTCTCCACCGTCATCTCAGGTAGGAAGAGATACACTGGAGTCCAGCCCACTCTGTATCAGAGTGAGGAATGCTCATGCTCGCGCTCATCGTGCTGCACCGGCCACCGTCGGGTGTTTTGCGAACACGCAAACCTGCACACGTCTGATCCGGCATTGGTAATCGCTCCCTACCAGCGGGGTTCCTCTTACATAGTGTGAGTATACTACCGAAGAAGCACAAAGATAGCGCTCGTCCTATGCAGAGCTCAGGCCAGTAACATCGCCAACACATATCCGCTTCGCGATCGGACATCGAGTACTCGAAGACACATTGCGTCCTGGGCAGGGCCACAGATCTGCCTGTCGTACCTCGCCATACAGTCCATCTGCCCACCCAACATGACGTCCGAGTCCACCGCAATTCATTCCCCCGCACGCAAGAATAGATGAACCTTGATTACCCCGCACTTCTCTCCCTTCACTGAAGCCGCGCCGCACCAAAACTGGGGAACTGTCCCCCGCAGGACGCGCTTTCCATAGCGGGCGCGGCTGTCTCACATGCAAACAATCAGACAAACACACGTACCTGCGGATGTTCCAGATCTAGCAATCGCAACTCAAAGCCCGCAGAACCCTCCTCCTATCTCTTCGCTGCTTCCGGCCTTACTCAGACTGAATGGCGGCATTTCGGCTCCGGCATGGGGGACACTGTTGGACTGATTACCGGTCTGCATTCGTACCTTTCATGTGCGATCGGGGGCTCGTGTAGGCCCGTATACGATCGAGTGCGCCCCGCCCAGAGGCAGCGACGCACGACGCTCTGAGACCTGCAGGGGGCGCTCATATCCCGTCCGCACTATGTACCAGCAACTTGCAGACGCTGCAAGATATGTAGGAGAGGCCGTGCATACCTCGGACATACACACCAAATATCTTTAGCAAAGATGGATATAGCAAGGGCTGGTCCGAGTTGCTCTAATGTCTTCGATGGTAGCGAGCATCGCAGCGGCCGGGCTTGTGAGACTCCACTGCTCGGCTTCCTGTTCCGCGTCTTTTCCTGTCCTCATCCAGGGGAACGGCTTTAGCGCCCCATCGTCTCGAGCGACGCGTGCGTCTGGCAGCAACGCGAGGGCTTCACTGAAAGGCGCTGACGTCAATTACAGCAAGGGGGTGTTAGACGCGAGCGAGGCTTTCGGCCGTGACGGGCTGACGGATAGCAAAAGACCCGAAATTAGTATGGGAAGACACTTGACACACTTGCGTGTCGTCGGCACAAGGCAAGATGCAGAGCACACCTAGGAAGTACGGAAGAGCGCTTTACAGTTCGGGGTACACTGTGATTACAAACCCAGAGCACAGATATAGCCTTCGCCATAATCGACGGAACAACCTGGATCGTTCGTGGCGGGCAAGAGCAGCTCGCCTAACGGATCTCTCAGGATTGCTGGCAGTCTCGAGCGCCACGGAAGACATCATGAAGAAGCATTCCAGGGCAAGGCGTCGAGCGGCTAGCTGTGGAGCAAGCATGGTCCTCCCGGATATGAAACGATTTAGGTCGACAGAGTCAACATGAGCGATATTGTCTTTCCTATGACCCAGCTCGGTCAGACCCAGGATGTGGATGTCTTCTACTCCAGGAGAGCTCCCGGCTGAGGTGTCAGAGCCATCGCAATCAGAATATCGGGAAGCCAGCCCAACAACCTTGCTATTCCTAGAGCACGATCGAGCTCTCATGAACAGGAGTAAAGAGCACCCGGTAAGGACCGATATAGCCCTCATACTTCCCTGTCAAACGCGAGTGGTACTGGTTAGGAACGACGGCCCGAGTATCTGGAATACGAGCACAAGCGGCGAAATTAGCTCAAGCACGCACGCCATGGTGTTCAGATGATGCCGCCGGTGAAGAGAGCATCCACGGAAGATAATACATCGATAGCCATGTACGCGAGATTCTTCATGGGAAATGTGGCAGACACGCAAATGGGCGCGGATGAACCGCCTATCTTCGCTCTTCAACTTCGCGAAAATGGGTAGGATGATGGTCGCGATATCCACGACAAATGGGGTGGAATGAAATGCGTACCTGTCTCATCACTGTCCAGCACTCCACCCTGATCCCTGCAGGCACCAGTTCTTTCCTACTACTCCCGTAATGCCAAGCATAAGATGCCCTCGAAGGGTCCTACAGTCAACACCATTGCCTGCTCAGAATGGAGCCTAAGCGGTGGGGAGAATGCGGTGATAGACAGTTCATACAACAGGTCGCTATTCACGTAAGAGACTCTCGTGTCTCTCGGCCGCCAGGATCAGAAGAGCTCACAATAGACAACATTGGTATTGGGAGAGTGCTTCCCAGGCCATCAAAGTAAATGAGGATAGTCGGCAACAGACCCCAGGAGCATAGGGGATCATTACCCGGGCAATCGAGACCATACCACCGAAGCAGAAGCAGATAGTCTCCGAACGAACAGACATGCTTCCCTATGCACAGGTGATAGATGACGCGCCGACGGTTAGCCACCAAGGCAGGCGAGGGGAGAAACCGCGCACACGCACCGCCGCCCTCGAACGCCTTTATACATTGGTAGAAAGGCGGTGCGACGCTGGAATGAGCCTTCATCTGACTGGGTCAGCTGGTCTATCTGAGCGTGGGACTCGTCATGCCGCCCGTCATCTGAGCGTGTCCGCAAGAGACCAGTCAGGCGGGCGCCATATTGCGCGCTGAAGGCGCCGCTTGCGCTACTGCTGAGGTTCTCAGCAGGTGAGGTCAGAAAAAGTCAGGCGAGTGCGGGTGGACGCACACGTGTGGGACGAGGAGAGGAGGAATACGGGGAACCCGCGTCAAGAGTGGAGTTTCGCGCCTGGATATTTGCGATGGATGACTGCTCATGTGGGACTGACCGGAAGTGCTAATGGCAAAGACGAATGACTTGACAAACCGATGAGTGATTCGGTTCCGCGTATTTATCGGGATGAACGGATACGATGCACCGAATATCCAAGTCGAAGCGTCGTCCAGCTGAACCGACGCAAGCATCGACAAGTCCGTTGTTTGTGTCCTAGCTAGAGGGCGTCAGAGACAGTCAGGCAAGCAACTGTTAATATTGAATACACACGCCTGGACACCGTGAATGAATCGAGGAGCGATTCTGGGTACATCAGCAAATAGTATATTTTCGCGCCTGAACTCGAATATCCTGACAAGATGTGATAGATCGGGCGTCAAAGTCGAGTGTGCGACTGGGAGCACTCATATCGGGAGACCCTGAGCATTACCGAGCCCGGCACATATACACACGCTTCAAGAATCCAAGATTTACGGCCCAATCCAAGATAAACCCCCTGAAGCCCCCGACCTGCCTGCCTCGAAAGAATCAGCGCGCCCCACCAAGCAAGCAGATCTCAACGCCGAGCTCACCTTCAAACCCCCTTCTTCCCCTCCCCCTCCCCTCCCTCCCTTACCACCACGCTCCGCGCCGGAGCCGCCACCAGCCCGTCCTCCACACGCCACCCCGCCTCCCCCATCTTCCTCACAAACACGTCGAACGACCCGAACGCCGCGCGCGGGTCCCGGGACACGAGCTCGACGGCGTTCACCCACGCCTTGAGCCTGTCCATCGGGGTGCAGCCCTCTTTCATGAATATCAATACGCCGCTGGGGGATGCGCGGAGGAGGAGGAGGTACCGCTCGTCCTTGTAGCGCTCCAGCGCGGCTCGCAGGGCGTCCCCCGGGTGAGAGCGGCAGTGCCGCCGGAGGTCCGCCACCGACGCGAACGCCGCGTCCCCTGCGCGCCTCCCATCCCGCCCCCTGATTTCGGCGGGCCGCCAAGCCAAGACGCGCTCCCGCGCGGCGACCCACGCCGGCGCCGGCGCCTCCGCCGACAAGTCCCCACCGCCGTCAGAGAACGCGCGCCACGCGAGCCCCGCGCGCTCGCGGTTCAGCGTGGGCAGCACCACCGCGCGCACGGCGGCCCAGTTCGCGGCGAGGTGCGCGGCGACGAGGAACGCCAACACGGCGTAGGTCGGCGCGGGGTCTCGCAGGTACCGCAGCACCAGCGTCCCCGTCTGCATTTTCCACCAGTCAGTCGGTCGGTCAGTCAGGGTACGGATACAGAGGAAACGGGGACGGGGGGAAGCGGACGCACCAGCATCCCGAGGAGGCTGAGCACCGTCTCGCGACTGCCGTCCTTGGCGTTGAGGTCGCCGACGTCGCCCGGCGCCCTGCCGTCGCGCGCAAAGTGCACCGTCAGCGCGGCCTTGGACCCGCCCGCGGCGATCCCGCAGAGCGCGCGGAGGGCGCCGCTCAGGCAGAGCGCCGCGACGCGCAGCCCGGATCTTGGCACCGGCGCCGCCGTCGAACCAGACTCCGCCAACGGGAGCGCCGGCGAGCCAGCGTGGGACAGGCTCAGGAGCGGGCTGGCGGAGTCGAGGAGGATCGCGGCGTCGTTGAGGAGGTCCGCGAGGAAGCGGTAGGTCTTCGCTTCGGGGAAGAGGGACGTGCCGAGGGCGTACGCGCCGAGGATGGCTGTGCACGTTGCATGCGTTATACATTATACCGTGCTCGCCGCCGCAAACGGGATGAAATGCGCAGCTCACTTGTCAGCCGGCTGAAGACGTCCTGGAGGATCGTGAGGATCATCGCGTCCGTCGCGGACGCCGAGGGGTCGCCCACGCCATGGCCTGTAGTAAACTCCACTCAGCTTCGGCAGAAAGGGAGGAAGAGGGGCGTGGGTGGGGAATACCTTCGAGGACGGCGCGGGAGGCGATGAGGCTCGCGAGGGCGCTGAAGAACGCCTGGAGGGCGTTGTACACCTGGTACCTTGCGCGGCGGCGTTAGGCCGTACAAATGCGATCGATCACGGCAGGACCAACCGGAAGTAGTCTGCACACGTATCGGCAGCAAATATGAGTGCATGTTAACATCGGATGCGAGTCGGACTCGGACGCACCTGGGGGCACGCTGGTCGGGTACCCCGCGGGGAGGAACACGTCCTCGAGGACCCTCCGAGCCCGCGAGAAGACCTTCCGTCCTGTACGCGTTGCACTTGACCCTTTAAGTTTGAGCTCGGAGCGACCGCGCATACACCCACCCACCAGTCCCCTCCGAGTCTCGTCGAGTCCCCACGAGCGTCCGTCCTGCCGCCACCGTGTACGTGTCCACGACCGTCCCGCTCTCGTCCTTCTCCTCTATGGTGAGCATCGCTGAGTAGGACAGGGCGCCTGAGGTCAATGGGACTCCCGGGCCGGCTGACGGGCACTCGGCTACACTACCACCGGGATCAGCGACGGTCTTGATTGGCTCAGCCGCTCGGACGTTCACGCATGCATACGAGTATGTGGCTGAAGACTACTATAGTACAGACATCTCCGACCGGCTACCAGGAAGTGTGGACGGCGGCACCTCTCTCCTTGTACGGCTGCTCCGAATCCGGGAGGGACGACAAACGCGCATGGTATTTTAGGCGGGGAGCATAGTGTGTACGCATGTACATACAACCAATCGACCACCCATCAAGCCGGAACTACAACGCCACACAGCACTGAGCAGTATATGTACACTTACAGAATAAGTCAGCAGCAGCCCTGGTATCCCTGCATTACAGCAACAACAACAGCGACGATAACGAATAAAAGTTCTAAAATCAGCAGGGGGGGCGGGGGGGGGGGTCAGTCGTGTCAATGGGGACGTGGGGAGGGGGACGTACAAATATCATAAATGTCGTTATTTATGTGTATCCCGAGATGGAAGAGGACAGCCACCCTGTCACGCCGACAGGTCCCTTTTATGATCCCGATCGGCCTTCCCGCCAAACGCCTCCTCCTCCCCGCTCCCGTCCACAGCCGACAGCGCGACCGACTTATTCCGCGTCCCCGCCCCCTCCGCGTCCGCAGTATCGCGCCCGCGCCCGAAGGAGAAGAACCTGAGGTCGAACGAGTCGGGGAACGTCGAGCGCGTGCGGGGGATCCGGACGGACATCGTCGGCGCGGTCGGCGCGTCCGCGTAGTCGTCGATGTTCTCGCCGTGCCGGAACACCGTGTACAGGTACGTCGTGATCACGAGCAGGTTCGCGACCACGAGCGAGACGCCCGCCTGTGCGTGCGTGCGTGCGCGGTCAGTACAACACTCGCGAGCGAGGAAGGACGGACGCACCTCGATGTGCGCGGTGATGCCCTCGTACAGCCCGGCGACGCCCATGACGTAGATGGCGTGCGGGATGCTGACGATGGTGGTGACGAGCGACGTGCAGAACACCGTGAAGAGCAGCTGGCGCTGCTTGCGCGGGAGGCGCACGCCCCACAGGAGGCGCAGCGGGATGAGCACGAGCGTGCCGTCGGCGAAGACGTCCGCTGCGCGACGTCAACGAGAGGTCCACGGATACGCGGGGCGGGGACTCACTGCACAGTTCGGCGACGGCGACGTCCCGCCCGAGGTGGCACTGCAGGCCGGGCGCGTGGTACCACGCGAGGTTGCTCGCGCAGTGGTAGATCTTCTGGACGAGGAGGCCGACGGTGATGAACGGGAAGACGAGGAGGAGGAGGAGCGTGAAGCGGCGCATGGTCATCATCGGCGGGACGAGGCGCACGATGGAGAGCAGGATGCTGATGCGCGCGGACCTAGACGCGGTTGAGGCGAAGCAGGCGGCGAGGGGATGGACGGGACAGGACTGACCAGAGGATGAGCGTGAACGTGACGGAGACGATCCAGTAGGACGCGATGCGCGCGCCGGGCGGCTGGACGAGCGGGCCGACGCCTGCGCGTGGCATAAGGACAGGGGGTTTGCGGAATGGGAAGAGCACACACCTGGCCCGTCCGTGCGTATCCATATCGCGATCAGGAATACAAGGTCAAAGACCATGGACGCCGCCGCGAGCGCGTCGTCCCACCAGAAGCGCTTCCGCCGCCAGCGGTACCCCAGGCGGAACGCCGTGCTCACGATGGCGATGGGGTGAATCACCGTCACCGCGACTGCAAGTATCAGAGTCGATGCCAACTCAACAAACGAGAACACGACCCGGACGCACCTCGCAGGTCGGTGGTGGTAACACCCATGATGCCGACCGCTGCTGCCTCGACCTGCGCGTATATTAGTATTACAGGCCAAGCGCGGCAGAGTGTTGATGTCGTCGGGGGAGGGCTCGCGAAGGCGCATGTCCTCTGAGGACGCGGGACGACGCTGCATAGCGTACTTTTGATCTGGGCGATCGCCCATCAGCACAGAAGCATCCGTAATTCCGCTTTCGGACACTTCAATTGATTACTAAGCGGGGCTAGCGCGTTCGGAGCCGATCTGTTGGATTCGCAGGCCCTAACGCGGGTCAGGTCGCGCTAGAACATCGATGGATATTCACCGTCTACTGCAGGCGCAGGAATCATACATCCCAGTCGCTGTAAATGCTTTTGCGTGGCGACGTTCAGCCAAGGAACCAAGCGACCCCGGCGCATCGCACGCTGTCAGAGCTGGCCTTGTGCTAAAGCTTGTCCATTCGTCGGTTTCACCCTGGAGTGTCAGAGACCAGCCAAATCCTGGCAACCGACGTCCACAACCCTTGATAGCATTCTGAAGTGGACGCTCATCGTTCCCTTCTATATCCGCTGTCGATTGCGTGCTGTATCAGGACATGGTGCGGTCGTTCCCAGTCTGCGCGAGTCAACCGCAAGCAGGAGCGAAGGCTTTCTCGCTCAGCTCGAAGGCCTCCCTCCCGCACTTGCAGCGTACCGCTCACGACAAATCCACATCTAACTCGATTCCACAACTGGTGATGCCTGGCTCACCCCCCATATATACGGTTGCGAACGCCATCAGCAGGCTGAGATGATTTCCTCGTTTTCATACAGGCCACGGCGGACCCCAATCCAGTCTACCCTTTGCCTCAGCGGTCCTCCGCGCAGGGGACATGGACGGACGCTCCTCGGGATGCCGGCCTCCCTCCCCCCCTTCCCGCCCACGACCGACGGAAACACCTCCCAGGCCCCGCGCGCCCCCTCGAACGCGAGCGCTCCTGGGCCCTCAGGACCCTCCCGCCCGCGTGCTCGTATTCTGATCCATGAAGGATCCCGAAGGGCGTGACTGCACCGGGTGGACGGCGCGGGGTGGGCGTTCGGTTCGGGAAGGCGGGCGGCGGCGCGGAGGGCAAGCAGATGCTCGGCCCAACATATACACTCGTAATGCTCGAAATCTGTCGCCCCAGTCCTCCGTGAACGGGCTCGCAGGTTGTTGCGTGTCGGAAGCGCTCGCCGCACAGCACGGGAGGACGACGCCGTAGCCATCCGCGGTGTTTCCAAGCAGTCTCGGACTAGACCTAGACATATCTGCACGGGCGGGTTGTATCGCTCTTCAGCTACGCATGTGAAGGGCCGTTCTGCTCCGCAAATGTATGTGGCGATTCCACATCACGGTCACCCATTCCAAACTCTCTCCGGCGCAAGATAACTGCGCATGCAGCGATGTTCGCCATCGACTACACCAGCGGGACAGGTCCTCGGCCAAGTTCAGCGGAAGATCACGATGCGAAGCCACTAACGAGAAGTATACAGTACTCTCATTCATGCACACCCAGTACCACTCAGATAGAGTAATTAATCGATGCCTTGCATAGTCCTCATGCCATGACTCGTATTCGACAAGACTACTGCTGCAAGCCCACGACCTGCAGCACGACCGGCGTACACGTGCTGTAATCGTAGTAGTACGGGTCCTCCGCGGCCGACGCGTTGTACGCGACGTTGCGCTGCGCGCGCGCCTCGTCGTAGTTGCACAGCGAGAACTGGTCCGTGCGCCCCGCGTACGCGAGCAGCGGCAGGCGGCCCGAGCCCGGCTGGAAAGCAAAGCGGGTCGGGTGAGCGGGGTTGGCTGACCGCGCCGTCCGCGGACAACAAGCGAGCCACGCACGACGATGCAGAACCCCGTGCTCGGCGCGGGCGCGGGGTACGTGATCAGGAACCCGAGGGTCGTCCCGTTCGTCGCGCCCGTGGACACGGCCGCGCCCCCGCCGGCCGCGTACCCAACCAGCCCGCCGCCGACCAGCGCGAGCGCCGGGAACTCGTCGTACGGGTAGGACGCCCATGTCTGCAGGCAGAGATCAGCGGTGACACGTCTGCCCGGCGCGATCGGGACGCACGGAGAGCACCGCGAAGGACGCGCCGTCGACCGCGCCCGCCTGCCCGAGCACGAGCGGCGCGCCCGTCGTGTTCGCGTTCGGCAGCGTCGTGTTCAGCGCCGCCAGCGTGAAGTTGCCCGCGGTGTCCAGCGCGCCCGCCCCGAGGCTCGCGCACGAGCTGGAATTTGACGCGCGGGCGACGTTGGCAGGGGCCGCAGCACTGGTCCCGAGAACACCGAGAAGGACTGCAAGCGCTGCCTTGTACATGCTGGACTTGGAGGGCTAATGACAGGAGAGGGGCAAAGGGCGTTAGAACGGGTGCTTCTACTCCTTTGTCGGAAGACAAAGCAACGTTGACATACCTTATATACCATATTCTCCAAGGGCTTCCAGGATAATGCGTGAGTACGAAAAAAACTCACAGGCCCTTTCCCTCCGGTACGCTCTTATGAACTCTCCGTGCGGCATGCTCGCCGAGTGTGACGATCCACAGCAGGGGACTAGGCGTCCCTCGATCGAAGGGCACTTCACTCTATTCAACAAAATAACCGATCTCGTCACCCGTTTGAGATCATCAGGTGGATTATTCAGTCGAACCTGTAACACGATCCAGAAATCAGATAAATAATGGATGTTTTGATATACCGACCGCGTTCGTGGTCGACGTTGCGTAAGTCGCTGCGCCCGAGGGGTATGTGGCACTGATGGAAAGGGTCATCAATGCTCCGACCAACGAGGACTCGCACTGCCGCGCAGATTCAGAGCACATCGAACTGGGATCAGTGTCTCAGCGCAGTGGTATAGGAGGAGCCTGAGGATGTTGATTCCTTCGATTTTAGACGACTATTGTACAATACAAGAGGAGATTCTGCAGTCCGTAGAAAACAATGGCGCATAATATATTAGCTACGAGAAACTGGCATTCGGTCTGTAACTACACTACGCAAACGAGGACTCGCTTTCAATTTGGGATTGGATTGGAGGAGGGGGAGTGAGGGGGGATGTGGTGCCGACATATCAACACCAAGCAGCAGCAGCAGCGACAAGGACAGCAAACACGAGGGTGGCGAGAACAGAGTATTCAGAGAAGGGGAGGAAAGTAGGAGGACAACAACGGTGATCAAATGGAAAATTAAGGACAGTGCGAGCTTCACCTGACTGGCCGTCACGGGCGAGCGCGAGAAAAGCCGGGGAGAACAAATTATCGACTCGCATCTCGAGAAATACGAGACAGAGAAACAAGACTGATGTACAAGAAAGCTCACGATACTTCTATAGTCGATTCTTCTTCACCCCCAATATCGAACAGACAAGTCGAGGCCTACGCCTTCCGGCCAAGGCTGAGAGCACCCATGCTCTCCTCCAGGAGAGACAGGCACGACTTCCTCTCGTCTCGACCACAATTATTCGAGCACCTTGACGAGCATTGCGACTTGGTCTGCATAGGCGTGAGCTTCGGCGACGTCGGCTCCTTCTTGACTGCAGGCTGTTCGACATCCACAACCTTGACAACAGCAGTGCCCTCAAGGACCTTCCTAACCTTTTCCGCATCCCACGCCGGCTGCTTATGCCCATGACCAACGGACGACGAGGAGGGCGACTGTCCAGAGAATGCTTCCCAGAACGCGGAGCCCAGGCGCTGCAGCATCGTCTGGCTGGCTACCGCAGCCAGCACAGCGTGCTGGGCCATCTCCCTGTCCTTTGCAGATGGGATAGTAGATCCAGGCAGCGGCGCACGGGTGTTCGAGTTGTTTGCGGAAGACAAGGGTTCCTTCTTGGGAGCAGCGAAATAGTGAGGGCGGATGGAGCTGGCGAGGCCGGTGAGACCTTGTTGCTTCTGGGTCTTCTGTTGCTGGGCATGCATGGCCTGCTGCTGCTGGGCCATCTTGCCCCACAATTGCATCCGGTATCTATACCAAAGATCAGCATAATCATGGAGAACGTAGCGGGCAGAATACATACGCATCGAGCGTCTTCATCGTGAACGGGTTCGTATCCATGTACGAGTCGAAGCCGTTGAGTTTCGTAGGAACAGGAGCAGAGGGTACATTCTTTGGCGCGTTGAGCGACGGGTTGATATTCTCCTGCAGCGGCGGCGACGCCGGCTTGTCGCCAACAATCGGCTTGCGCAGCAGCGCGCTCGCGAGAGGGAACTCGGGCACGATGGTGGTGTGCACTGGGGTGATCCCTCCGAAGCTCTGACTGCCGCCCCAGAAGCCTTTGGCTCCCAGACGAGGGGACAAAGGAATATCTTTCTGGATGTTCGGAGAGAGCAGGGGAGAGGACGAGCGTTGGACAGAGGGAAGAGGACCGGGAGGGGGGAGGGGAGATGGCTCTCCTGCAGCCCGACCTTCGAGCAGGGCTTTCTTGAGGGCTTGAATTTCCGAGCGGAGAGCAGCGTTCTCGTCCTTTGTCGAGTGTAGCTCGGTCCTGATCATGTCGATCAGCTTGTCGCGTTCGGCTACATCACCCTCGAGGGTCGTGATGTACTCTGCAGAATATGTTAGAGCGAAAGACATGTATTGTTCCATTGACACTCACCCTTCCTGCGGATACGGAAATTGCGAGCACTGATCTTGTTCCGCAGCTGCCGCTTCTCCTTACTCGACATCTTCTTGTACTCCTCGGGGGATGGTCGCCAGTCATCGAGCTCAGGAGACCCGCTTTTCTCTTTGTTCGACTTCATCGGCGAGTTCGCCGTCTTCTTCGTCACGCCACCCGACTGAACAGTCCCCTTCCTCGCTGCGCCCTTCCCACCAACCTTGACCTTGGGCAGCGCCATCTCCTCATCCCCCTCCTCGTCCTCATCATCATTATCCTCGTCGTCGCCGAACTCGCTCTGCGCCTTCGACGGGGTGGGGGTGCCAACGAGCTGGGGGTCAATCGCGAGCACAGCAGGCGACTCGCTCTGCTGCGCCGACGCGGGGCTGCTCTCCGAGCCCGACGATGCGCCCCCGCTGCCCGCGCCCGCTAGCGACGCAAAGGCGCCCAAAAAGTCGTACGGCGCCGGCACGGGCGGTGGGGCCAGCGCATCGACCTTCGTGCCCTCGCCTTCCAGCCCGAACTGGAAAAACGAGTCGAAGTCAGTCCCGGGGAAAGTGTACGGCTGCGCGGGCGGCGAAGGGAGCGTCGAGAACGATTCTGCTGGTGAGCGCGAGCTCGAGCGCGGGGAGTCGCCGGTCGACGTCGAGCCACCGAGCATGTCCATGTTGAAAAAGTCCTCGAAATTCGAGGACGAGCTAAACGAAAACGGCTGCGCCAACGGCGAGTTGACTTGCATAGCGGGCGGGGAGATAAAAGAAAAGGCGATTGCTGGTTGCTGTCGTGTGGAGGGCTGCGAGCGAGCTGGTGCGAGGCCGAAAGGATTGCGGATTCAGTTACGTAAGCACGGCAGGAGTTTTACAAACGTGGAACTTGCGTGGAACCGTCGCTGGCCGAGACCCACTGTTGGGGGCAATACAACGCCTTTTGATGTGGTATATAGGGGTCGAATGTACTAGAGACTGCGAGAACGGGCGCAGAGTAGAGTCCACAAACGAGGGTATATAGCTGTCCAACCAACATTATAAAGTACAGGGATTAAGGTATGATAAATCCTCCTAGAAGCCAAGATGAGAAGATCGATACTAGAGTGTGAGACGCGAAGCCCCCGTTGAATAAAGGGTGACAGCCACGATGCGGGACATGAGTGAACGAAATCGCAAAGTAGGCCGGCCTCGACGTTCGTGCAGCGTTTAGTGGGACCGCGTGCCCCATCCCAGGATCTCGAAAAGAATAGGCACCACCTCCGTGGCAAGGATCGCGATGCCCGAGTACACGATAACCTTTGTCAACACTACGCAGAGCCGTTAGGACGGAGACTATGGGCCAACAACGCAGGGTTCGCTTACCATCCGCATCGTAGTGCTTAATCTTCTCGTCGTCCCTCATTCCCGCGTCGTTGCCATTGACACATTTTTCCTCTTCGCTGTACGAGCGACCGAGGCTCTTTTCCCTACGGGCACTCCCGTTGGTGTTGCGAAGTTTGATGTCACGGGGAACGTGCAGCCTCGCCCCGGCACCCGTCGCGTCGACCTTCATCTCCATCTCCATTTCCATATGAGCAGGTAGGTCGATGACGGACGGGATCGGCCGCAGGCTCTTCTCGGGGGGCACCATGTCATAGTCAGTCGCCGGCGTGTAGAACCTCCGATTCGGGAGAGTAAAGGCCTGAGCAAGCAGACGGTAGATAGGGGGCAGAATGAGATGCATCAACGACTTCGCAATCAACCGCCACATGAAGATGAGCAGCACACCTGAATTGAAGGGGGGGCGTCTCAGTATTAGATATTTTTGAACTGCTGGAAGGACCTACCGACAACCACCTTGATTGCTGCAAACAGCCACCAGGTGCCAACGTCCGTCCAAGTTTCATAAGCACTACCTGGCTGAAACTTAACGAAGTACGATTCATCAAAACCATATCGCGTCCGATGCCATAGACAGAGCATCGCGCCAGCATTGACAGACATGAACGCAATGGCGTCTTCGAAGCACGGACAATCGTCTACCGGCTGAGGATGCTGGTTGACAATGAGAGCCGTGAAAATGCAGACTGTGATAGGCCCTGCAATTTGGTTCAGCAAGCGCTACGAGCGACGGGTGCGATACTCGCACTGACCTAACCAGGCACTTCCAACTATCCAATCTTCGATAGCCTTCTGGCAGAATAACTGGAACAGCCAGAGCGATGTGCCAAGCATGATACCCATAGCACAGTCGGTGAAACTATGCATTGCGGTGTAGATCCGGCCATAGACGATGCTGAAGGTGTAGAATATTAGCCCAACCATCCACGCAATGTACGCGGTTTGTGACATAGAGGCGTTCATGTAGGCTCGGTATACGTGTGTAAAGATAAATAGAGCGATAGAGACACTGTTGGTGGTATGTGTGGACGGGAAACCATACTCAAGGTGGTGCGATCCCATAGCTTAGGTATGTCAGGATATTGTATGGCATTCACACCGTAGTACTTACTGAGGCGGGTTACCGGAGGCGCATAGGGACGAGGCGAGCAGACTGCATCCTTAAGCACGGACGAGACGTACACACCCGTCGACAGGACAAAGAGTAATCTGACGAAAACACTTGGTGCTCAGCATTCCAGGCGGAGTAGGTAGACGGAATTCACGCACCCCCCGCCGATCTCAGGGTAGCCGAAGAAGTACGCGCAAGGCAGAGCAGTCATGAAGAATGTGTGCGTTCCCAGTGAAGACGTGTACACAAAGTACGTGTCCAGCCAGGGCGTACGGATGCGTTCCTACGCGTACACTTCAATAGCGAAACTCAGACGCGAAATGTTGCTACATACCTGCATGGCTGCGATGACCTCCGACTCCCATTCTACCCTCTTCACGACCCTCCTCCTAAGGGCGGCAGCCCACCGCATAAGGCTGTTGTCGTACACCTCGCCGGGCAGCCGCCCGACGTCTAGGCTGATCATGCCGTCGTCAGAACTTGGGGTGCCAGGGCTTGACCGAGTGAAACGCGTCTTGTCCTCGCCGTTCATTATAGCCGGAGAATCATCGAGGATGATGACTTTTGGGGGCCGATAGCTGTCCGCTGTCAAGCCAGTTTTGATGTCATCCCTCCCCATGCCCTGTGAATTATTGAGAGCGTTTAAGTATAGAGTCCTATCATCCATCGTTTGCGTCATGATGTCGTCGAAAATAGAGAGAAGGGGAGAACAAGGCGTCCCTGTCCCGATGAGAATAGAAAGAAGAGGGCGGAGGGGAGGTCGCTGGAGACAGCAGCACCGTCGGGAGCGGTTGACGGTTTATAGCAGCGCCCGACTTTTCTACCCAGTCGCGCCACCGCGAACAGCGAACACAGGGACCCATGGAACCCCAGCCTGCTAGGTGATCTTGAACACGCTGCCGACCCATGTCGACAGACGACTGCGTGGGGAGCTGTGCGAGGAATAGCAGACGAACAAAACCCTGCTCGCAACGCATTTATAGAGATTCTAATGCACTTACTGCCAGCCGTAGAAACTTGGATTTATCGCCGAAACCCCGCCCTGCTTGAGCAGATGGGGTTACTGATACAGTGGGGGATCTACCGCTAGAAAGTGAAGACAGAGAAAGATAGGACCCTAGTACTTCTGAGCTCACGGAGAGGACGCCCATAACTGTCCTTAGATGTTCCACTAATATGGAAGACTCGGATGTAGGTTAGCTGACTACAAAGCTGAGGCTAGGGTGTACGAAAGAGAGTGGCAGAGTCAACGGAGGCTCATAAACGCAATCAACAAGAGGACGGATTCCTCCAAGGGGAAGATGAATGGCATATGCCATGAGTGAAAGGTCGTACTCTGACATAGCCGAATCAAGGAAGTGACTCTCCATACAAGGCTATGGTACTTCCGGTCTTGGCAAAGCGCCTTTTTAGATTTACATCGAGGTTAGTGTTGCCATTCCTCCGTCGTGATTTCTTTCCATCTCTGTGCCAACGGGATGGATTGAAAGAGAACTTGCAGGGCATAAAACACGGTCGCATTGAGAGCGAAGACGAGGAGTGGACCCTGGGTCTGATACCTCCTGCCACAAATATATTACCCCGCACTGGCAGACGGGGTGACCAGGGTACCGTACTTCGTCGATCGAAGTTCCCCTATTAGTCAAGCACTCTCAGTCAACAACCGCCGGCCTGGTCATCTAAATCATCGCACAACGTCAGGACCCCTGATAATAGGTATCAAGGCTTTATTTTAAATCCTGAGAATCCGACCTTTCTGTCCGCGCCAAATTTCCGGATTTGGTGCCGTTTTGTCCGCGAAAAATGTGGCCTGAGCGGATTTTGGCCGAAAATGTCCGCGATTCTGATCAGGGCTCTGCTTACAAGACCTTTGTCCGCGCTGTAGGATAAGGCATTAAAATGTATCAATTTTGCTCTTCTAGTAATGTATATCTATAGCACCACTCTATTCACCGTCAGAAATCATGTCCACACCGCTCGCCGCCTTGCGTTTGCGGCGGAATTTTGCCAGTTCTTCCACTGCGGGAGCCAACTCCGCCATCTCCGATTCGAGATGGAACTCGTTAAATAGAAACAGTCATGTTTCTAGTATGTGAACTACAATAACTTATTCCGCTGGCTTTACGCTTTTCCTTCCTTATTAGGCAGGTGGTGCTCGGCGGTTTCCGGGTATTCCCACGCCTCGCGCGACGCGTCGACGCGTCGCCTTTCCTCCTCGTTCCCCGGCGGCTGCACCTCCCCGGGGGTGCTTTTGCTCTCCTGTAGTAGATTGAAGTTGCTGTATATCACCAAAATGCGTGCAACTACTGATAATGTACTCAAAAAATCGTTCTATGTAGTCAGTTTAGCCCCCAAGAGCCGGGGAGGCATCCTGCAGGTGCAAAAGCACTCAGTTTACAGCATAAGTGCGCGAAAGCGCGGCATAAGCAGCGTAAAGCATTTATTTCGATGGATTTACACCGATTTACATGATTTACGGCCACGTGATGCATGGATTTACGGGCACGTCACGCCCTCCGTACAATCACATCAAGCAGCCGCCGCTTCGCGCGGCGTTCCCGAGCGCTTCTCCCCATCAAACCCCGAGAGCTTTGGCGCCCTTGTCGGGATACTCATTTCGGGACCCCAGGACGCGTGGCGTGTAATTAGAACGCGTCTGACGCGTCGAGGACCTATGTGCTCCTCCTCAAATAGCACTATTTATCGTATTTAGAGCCTTTGTATCTAGTAAGAATAGTATGTACAGTATACCGCTTGTATTCACCGTGAATCTGGCACTACTCGGGACCTTTTAATGCAGTGGGACTTGGAATTTTCGCGCTCTACCCGCTACCTTGGGCCATCAGCCACCGTTGACCCCGGGTCACGGTAGGGTCGATTTACGTGGATTTACAGTACCTCATGTAAACTAAGCCAAATATCTGTACTTAATAAATGCTGGATAGACATAGTCTACTATGAGATGGGATAGGGACCCACAATGGCCACATCCGTCGTATAGAGAAAAAGTTGAAAACACATGCCTGGATGGAGAATCAAACCTAGTATCCAGGAATCAACCAATCATACATGGGTCAAGCGGTAACCCCTGGACCACGAGACTATAGATGTCCGCACAAGCATAAGGCATCGATAGCGCATGGTATATATGTCCGCGAAAAAAATCAGACGTGCACCCGTTTTTGGGCCTTTCTGTCCGCGAAAAATAAGGCCTGGTGAGGTCTAATTTGGCTTGATTTGTCCGCGTTTCCACAAAGCCTTGATACCTATTATCAGGGGTCCTACAACGTCCCGTCGGGCGGTACACTTCACATGTTGGATTGAGAGACAAAATAGAGGACATCTGACCCGTTAGGTCCGCACGTATCCCATACCCTCCTAGTCAACGATTCCATGGCAAAACGGGAAATCCGGCGGACATGGGGGCAAGTCCAGACACATCCATGCTTGGAGTGGGCTGGCTACTGTTGGCAGAAAACGAGAATGACTCAGGGATGCAGCTTCTCGACCAGATGAAAGGGAGAAAATGCTTACGCAGCAGACGCGCTGGTAGTGGGAGCTGCACCAGCGCCTGTGTCCAAGTAAGCCCTAGACAAAATACAACGTTCAGGTGTCGCGACGCTAGCCCAACCCTTACAACAAACAACGCACTGCGATGTTAGAGGGGCAACGGTAGGAAGATCTGCCGGCGAAGATGTACTAGCGGGGCGGTCACAAGCAGCACCGGCGATGCAAGGGTGAAGGACAGAAACACTGTTTTATTGGACTTCAGCAATAAATCCCAGCCGTCGGGAAGTAGTCCACTTGCGGCAAGGGTACCCCCAACGCGGGCACTACAGCGCAGACCAAGACGAAGATGATTGCGTTACGCATGGCGACGAGAACGACAACCGTGGGGCGCTACGTTGACAATTGAAGTTACAAGAACGAAGGAGATACGGGGCGCCCGGCACCCAAGACAGTGATTGACTGAAGGAGAGCGTCAACGCTAGGGAAGCGGAAAAGCTGCTCCCTCATTTTAAGCCAGGGCAGAGAAACCCTCGGGTTTCTTGGGTAGGTCGGTGCGACGGCAGTCGGCTGACGCAGAGACAATACCCATAACCACAGTGACATGTGGCAAGACAGCGGCAGAGAGTGAAGCTGATGGAGTGGTGGCGACAGGTGGATCACTATGTGGCGAGCAACATGGACCCAAACCGGACGAAGGCCGGGAAAGAACCTATTCGTGTCATCGCTAGACGGTAGGCATAGAACGACATGTCAAGTATGCTGGACGCACTATTGCATTCATGACAGCTAGAATATGTCGCAACGCTCAGATCCCACAAATTCAAGGCCGGCATGACATTGTATTCCAGATCCAACTACATACAGAGCCGACTGTACCACCCTCCGTCCTTCTCCTGAACAATACACAGTTAGTTCACGGTCACGACGAGTGAAAAGGAAGAAAACAGGAAGGACAAAATTCAGAAAAGCCGGTATTTTCATATTCCCCGCCTTACAACACCCAAGCACTCCGCCGCCAGCTCACCAAGACGGCGAGTGGCAGCATACTACCCGCAAAGCAGGAAGCCGAGGCCAGGACGTCGCGCGGGCGAAGCGTTCAACGAATGGATGAACTTGGTTTCTTCTTGGAAAAAATACAACTGAAGATAATGCTCACCCATTACAATCCAGAGCTCATAGAATCCCTGGAAGAAAGAGGGGTTAGAAATGGTTCGCGAGGGAAAAGAAAAAGCGTAGAAATCAGAAGAGTTTTTTGGTATAGAAGTTGTCCACCAAGAGATTGCTCTCTCTTTCGGAAGCAGAACTGATTAAGGGATCATCACAATGGACTGGAAATGGGCTGGGAACAAACAGTTGCCCAAAGTTTTCTAGACATGATGCTCACCTGAATAGTCGACCACCGTTATGTGCAGAAATCACAACGAACCGACTATACAGCTGCGAATTCAGTCTCCGCTATCGGTGGCTGAAATTTTGCATGTGACGCGACGCGGCTTCATCCATTGACCGCCAGCAAATGGCAGATGTATACCTGAAGGGACTCCGTGCTATGGTGAGCTCAATGGTCTTTTCTGTTGCATGCCATTTTTGCTATGAAGATAATTGTCCATACGACGAGTTGGCGACTTACCGATGAGCCCATACTCAAACATGCATCACCAACTGAGCTTTCAAATCTTTTCTTCGTTCTACTTTGCACGCCAGCGAGACTCGTACTAACGCGAACTGTTGTCATAGACCTTGTCATAACTTGAAGCGCAACCATGCTAGGGGACACATCGGACGCGTCCTGCCAGAACAGCAGTGACTGAAGCTCGGAAGCAGGATATGGTGAGTAATTCGGTTTCGTGGACCGGAATCAATTTTCTTGGCCTACCTTTCTCCATGATGAGATTTTAAACATTTAATGACAAGCATATGTCCGATTCTCCGTGAAGGACACAGTATGTTCTCTGACCTGTCTCCCTTTTCATCCTTGCTTTTGTTCCGCATTCATGAGGTGCTGACCCCCCTTTCCTAGGAAGCATCCTCACACTGGTATGTGCATCACGCCTGAAATGCGGAAAGGTGAGTCGCTTAGTGTCGGGGCTGTCATCTCGCAGATGCCGGAGTGCACCGAGGCCGGTATACAGGTTCAGCCGTTTCATGTCGTATAATAACATCATGAATATACACATTCCATTGTATGTATTAATATACTGCCAATCAACTATCGAACAAATAGCCTCTCCAAGAAGGACGGATATACTGTCAACCATGTCCCAAAGATATTGAACCCGGAACGGGCATGACGGGGGGATGAAAGAAGGAGTAACAAGTAAGGGTAGAAGAAGCCTATCAAACACCAGACGAAACCATCCATCAGGAGAGGCTTCAACTCGTTCCGTTGCTCGCATTGCCATTCGCAATGCTCGCCGACCCGGTGACCTTCTCCGCCAGCGCGTCCACATCGGCCTGCTCCGGCCCGCCCTTCCCGTCCACCGCCTCCTTGATCAGCGACATCGTGCTCTCCAGGCTCCTCCGCCGGTTACTCGGGCTCGTCATCGTCGTCCCGAGACTCGCCTGGCGCCCGTGCCCCCGCCTGTAGGGCGTCGACGCCGACGAGGACGTGGGCGACGTAGGCGACGTGGGACCCGCGGCGGCAGAAGGCGTCGTTGTGCTGACGTTTGCGAGCGCCTCCTGCAGGCCGCCTGCGAGCGCTGCTGGTGACGGCGGCTCGACGCCGCTGTCGGACGGTGTTGTCGGCTGCGAGATCATGTTCCGACCTTCCTCCGAGTCCACAGAGACTAGCTCGGGAGGAAGACGTTCGTTCTCGATATCTGACTTCCGACTAGAGAGAATAGTTAGACGTGTCCGAATGGAGGCGGAGATGTGCGGAAAGATGAACTTACGCATCCTCGAAAGTTGTGATAGCTTCTTTGATACCCTCCGCCCCAAGGGCCAGGGCGCCGAAGGGCAACTTCGCAGAACCACTGACGCTTTTGAGCTCGGATACCTTCTCCGACTCCTCCCTAACGACGGGCCACCGTTAGCGTTCAGAGTCTTGTTACCGCAATGCCGAGCCGAGATACATACCGAAGCAGAGCAAACACCCGCGACATACGGCCAATAGCGCGAATCTTGTTCTTGATGACATTTCTCCGCTCGATGTCCTGCGGCGTGCGGGGCGATACCGGCGCCTCCTCTTCGCCTTCCTCTGCCAACTCCTCCTTGCTGCAACAGTTGAGCACAGCAACTAACATGTCCGTGACTAGAAGCAAGAAGAAACAGTGAGCAAACCAGAGAAGCTATGTCGCGCAACATAGAGGACTCACTCTTCTCGCCCACGAAGGGTAGACTCCACGTGAACACGTCCATAAAGTTCGGCAGCCAGTAAGGGTGTGGCGTGCAGTTGAATTGCCGGATGTTCATCACGTTGCTCTCATACTTTAGTACGGCAGCCTTGTTGTTATAGACATCGAGGTAGTTGGGCGCAGAGAAGATCGTCATGACCGAGGGGAAACCAGTCGTTCGTGTCTTACGGTACATACGGTACCTGGGAGTAACCCCTGTTAAGCATTTATACTGTGAAGTACTACAGACGCAGTACGTACCCAGCGTCCTGTGCCTCATGAGCACGTATGATGGATAGGAGATTGTTGCGTTCCAGGAATTGACATGCTGCCTGGTATCTATTGTAACCATCATTTTTAGTTAGGCAAAGTTCCCCATGAAGACCATAGGACGCACGTGAAGAAGTATGAGCATCCTCGAACATGGTTGTGCACGAAGCTGTCCGTAGTCTTTTCCTGGCCAAAGTCCTCAACGGGATCTGACCATAAAATATCGCACATAAGACCATGAGTGGGAGGTTCGCGGAAACGATCGATCTACGCCGCGTCAGCACTTGTTGTCAATGCGCTCATGACCACCTACGCTGCGAAGGTCATCTATTGTCTGAAGCTCGGGCGAAAGACCGCCGTGTATGCACAGGAATTGTTTGTTCATGATAGCCGCGAGAGGCAATGCACAGAAGGACTCCATGCATGCGTCGTAGATTTTTTCAGAGTACTTGTGTTTGCCTGCGTACATTAGGGATGACCGCATGGATGATCATCTCATGAAACTTACATTCAAGTTTGAATGTGAAGTAGTCGGTCAAGTGTCGACACTCGTGATTGCCGCGGAGGAGGAAGAGGGTGTCGGGATACCAGATCTTCAACGACCAGAGATATAATACACACTGAAAACCGGTCAGAAAGCTTTATACAGATTGGAAGTGACAAGTACCTCGATACTGAAGTATCCTCTATCGACATAGTCTCCCAAGAAGAGGTATCGCGTATCAGCAGGGTTGCCCCCAACCTCGAACAGTTTCATCAAGTCATACTGAGAACAGAGTGAATCAGCAAGGGTCACGGATGCCTCGCACAAGCGATCATACATATTGCCCGTGAATATCGCCACAGACTGCGGGACACATGAGTATCAGCATGGGGGTCAAAGCAGGGGTTCCCACCGGCGAGCACACCTGTAATCGGAGCGTCCACCGACAGCACGTTTGGCTCGGCTCGCAGCAATGCTGTTCCCTTCTCCAATATCCACAGCGCCTGCTCCTCGGTCAGCCTGCCCTCGCGGTAAAAGTGGTTCTTCAGGAATGCAATGTCCGGCTTCGAGGGGTCTTGTTTCGAAAAGAATTGCTGTTCGGTCGGCACATGCATCGCCGGGGCTTGCACCTAGTCGCATAGCGAGCTCAGTCTCCTATCCGACAGCCCAGGAATCTCGAGGACGCACATCTTTGATTACCCGCTCCTGGGTGCTGACGGTCTGCCCATCGTCTAGCTGCTGGATGGTGAAGTCGATCTCCGCGGCGTGCCCTCTTTCCTGCACCCGCGCGTACGCCCGTTCAATCTGGCTGTTGGCCATAGGTGTCTACGATGGCGGGCTGGTGGTCGTCAGAGTTGGAAAGAGGATAAGGGCGTCGTCGAGTGATCTGAGAGAAGGAGGAGTTTGGCGCTTGCGGGGTTTCAAAACGCGCTTGTCGTTCAAGGGCAATGGGTTACAGTTACCCCCTTGGCTACTTGACTCCTGCCAGTACAACGCTGTGGCTGCCTCTGTTCTCTGTTGCGTCTACCTAGGCTCAGGTTTATTCTAGGTGTGCTATGCTAGAATGTGCCGTAAAGCAGTGAACACCAGGATCATTTTAAGGGAGACTGGAGGCCTGAACCTGCAATTATCGGCCTACTCCTACTGGAGGCGATACAACCGCTTCTTACATTGGTACGTGGGCCGACAAACTGCAGTTGATCTGTACTGTCCTGGTATGTAGAACCTTGTCGGGTACTTGCTATATATACAGCTGCCGCGAGGCAGTTTGGATGTCGATGCATCCAAGCCGACGTTACCCCGGATTTGAGCCATCCAAGTGTGACTCTTTTGTGCTGCTACCTCGAGCGCGACTTCTTGGGGAGTCTGACCGCTCGATGGGGGCAAGCTTACAGGTTGAGTTTGTATGATCTTTGCTTTGCATATAGCGCTAAACACCTCAAGGGCTATATGACTTTAAATATGCAGCGGGGCGTACTGGGTTGTACGCAGAGGACATAGCCCATGCCAGCGTTTCTTTATGCAGTGCTGCCATCTATCCATTCACGTCCTGATAAGCGCTGGGACATTGCTCAATTTCGATTGGGGTATTTGGGGTGGACGTGCGGCGTGCATTCGATGGCGTGCATTCGATGTAACACGCGAGGAAATAGATTACACGGGAAACTATGACCCAAAGTATGCAGTAAGAACATGTTTTGCGACGTTGAATCCCAATAGGGATATGACATAGCCTGTAAACAGCGGCAGCAAGGGTGACAAGAGCAGTTCTGATCGCACCAAAAAGGGCAGCGCTAAAAGGAAGAATCAATTGTCGGGGAACCGCCTTGAATGCAATACGGCAAGACTCACCACTGAGACCCAGGTATACCCCATATATGTACTGCGCAAACCTGTTCGATACGACGCTCAACGGATGTGCATTACGTCGCTGGACGAGACACTCACGCAGCCAGATAGAGCGTATTTCCGACCCACAGGCAAACCCAATTCGACTTCAGGATGATCGGCAGTAAAAACAGCTGTGCCAGGTACAGAGTCAGGTAGAGAGGGAAAAAGGCATTCGTGTGCACGTCGAACGCATAAGCCCATTCCACTGCTGTGTCGGCTGGGCTTGTATGCGACGGTGGCGATAGCAGGAGACGATTCGCGGTAAACCTTTAAGACATCAGCGAGTTAGTCGGGTCAAGTAGAGCAGCAGCTCAGACATACCATAGGATCGTGGCGTTGATGATGCCGACAACTAAGTAGTCTCGGAATATCATGAGAAATGCCAGCCAGATCGCGTCGAACACCCCGAAGGAGTATACCACGGACCAGGCAATAGCGGCCACTACGAGCACAGATCAAGTTGAGTCTCGAAAACAGGTTCTATAGCGAGGTATGCGCCTTACCGACAAGGCACGCAGATATTAGGATAAGAATGGCTGGATCATCTCGTGCCCATGTATTCTTGGTCTCTGAAGCGCAGAGATGCTTGGAAACATGTCTCCTGACCATGCAGCAACTCAAGCTCACGTTTGTGGAAGTAGACATTCCGATATCTAGCGCATAATCAACATTGGATGTTGCATTGCAAACGGGACAGACACGGCTCACACTCTCTTCGGTGCTAGACACAAGTACGTTAACTGCCATGCCGCCAACTCAAAGTCCTAACACGAACAACGCAAGCAGACCCGTTTTAGTCAGAACACATAGATCCAAGCCCGTCCAAAGCCCAAACCATTTGATGGAATCTGAGCAGCCGCCTGAATATTAAGGGTACGCGGTTCGACATGGCTGCCGGCTTCCGGAGGGGGCTTGACGCGCCATCCTCGAATGTGGACTGCGTAGCGGATAACGGGAGAATGGCCATCGGGCTGCGCGTCCTCGGACGTCGGAATAGAGAGCCAGGACCCAGTGAAGACAGCTTGGCTGTAAAGAGCGTCTACGTCGAGGAACAGAGCATGTACACCGTCGTGCACGACGAGGCCTGCGCTCGCCGAGCAATTTCGGAGTTTTCCATGATTTCGGTCGGCACTCGAATTATATAACGGAATATCGTCCTTTCATTGTGATCCCCTCATCATCCACGCCCTATCTCGTGTCCTGGACTCTACTTACGCTTTACTAGATGGCCGACGAGGAAGCTGAGCTCTTGGACTGGGGAAATGAAGACGACGAGTCGCAGCATGTGCCGCACCGGGATGTGGTAGAGGAAGACGCGGTTTCACTCGGTGGCGACGAGGACGACTTGCAGGCATACTATGCGTACCAGTCTCGAACTGAGCAGGAATCATCTAGGACACCGGCGCCCACGCAGAAGTCGCAGCAGACGTCGCACAAGCGCGACGTCCAGCGCGAAAATTCGAACGGTTCGCAGGCTGTCTCGAATTCTGTCTCGGCCTCGCAGTCGCAGGGCTCGCAGCATCATCAGCCTCTGAGGCGACATTCGTCGCAACCGAAGCTGACGCATGAGCTGCCGCCGAAGCCCGTTTTGGCTGTGGCGCCCGCGGTTAAGGAGACAAGCACGTTGGCAAGCTCGATGGCTCGCCCTGATAGGAGAACCAACGGCAAACCGCACTCTTCTAGTGATGATCAGCTTCCCCCCGACTGGGAGATGAGAACACCCAGGGGTGGTGGAAGTAATCCTTACTATTACAACACCAAAACTCAAGAGTCAACTTGGGATAGGCCGAGTGGCGGCCGGACAAGGGAGAAAGAGAGAGGTCGAAGCCCCACCAGGGAGAACGAGGCTTCGTCCCGCTCAGGAGGTGACCCCCATAAGTCATCTGATTATGCGAAGTCTCCTATCACTAGTCGGTCAGAAGTAGCTCACACTGGATCGCCTTCCGCGCCTGACAAAGGTCTTTCCTATGACGACAGGCACTATCGCCCTACAAGCAGCTCACCCAACAAAAGCGTGGACGAGCCTCACAGCAGGCGCGAAGAGCGCCCAGACGTGCCACCATCACGCCCACGGTCGCCTCCGCCTCATGATGGGCACGACCGCAGGGACTTCCAGCGGCCTCCGCGCGACGTTCAAGACCGACCGCCCCGCCCGCGGAAGGACTCTGTTACGTCGCCCGAGCGAAATCCCCGGAGGCCGCCTCCACGAGCTCGCTCTAGTGAGCGCCGTCCTCCTGAAGGTGACCGAACTTGGATTCCTCGGGATGCTGTTCCTCCCCAGGCAGTTCAGGTTGAAAGGGAAGAACATGTGATACCTGCTCGAAGGAAGCGTCACGATAGTGACCCTCCTCGTCGTGATCATCCGATGCCGCCACGTGAACCACCTGCCCGTCGCGGAACGGACTACGCCCCTCCTCCAAGTACGTTATCTACATCATTACCTCTCCATCCTTCCCGTATGGTGCGGGTACTCTGTGGTCCTTCGAGGGTCGAGCTACTCGTGTAGTATACCCGCCGGGCTTGCGCGGACTCCTACCCATCCTCGACGTTCTACCATTCCTACCCGTCCCTGCATCCGCCTTTTTAACGTACGTTTTCCTCTTCATTTGCAGGGTTTAGATCCCGGTCTCCGCCGCCTATGCTCCAGCCCTCAGCAGCTTGGGCGAGTAGAGAATCCTCGGTACATGACGCGCCACCTTTAGCGCGCCATCCGTCTGTTACCTTTGTACCCAGGCAAGGGACTAGATTCGATCGACCCGCAAGGTCACCTGTGCAAGACAGACAGTTGCGCACTCGACGTGACGAACCTGATGCGTATCCTCCGATGGATTCTGTTCCTCAAAGGAGGGGAAGGGAACCAGATTTCCCCCCTCAACACCTTGAAGGAGAGGCCGAAGCTAAGCGAAGACGCACGGGTGAACGCGACGCTGATCCAACACCGACTCGACGTTATATGGATAGACCTCCCTACTCTGATCTCCCAGCGAGACCCATGGACACGCCCCCTGCACCGGCACCATTTCGAGACGAAGAACCTCGTACGTATTACTCCGTTCTGGATTGTTCAGCTAAGACGCCCGCGCAATGCTCATCCTCCTTGTCTATTTCTTGTTTCTTGTGGCGCGGATGCAGGATTGCGCAAGCGGGCCCCATTGCCGCCTCAAAGCGAAAGATTCCGTGAGGCTGCAACTCAAGGGCAGCCACCCGCGCCTCCTCCAGGACCACCCGGTCGGGGGCCACCGCCGTTTGCGCCAGAGCCTGGTCCTTTGTATGGGCCTCACGGCCCTAGAGAGACAGGTGGAGGTATGCCCCCGAGACCCGGTATTAACAATAATCTGCCCTCAGGACCTCGCAGTCAGTATCCGCCGCCGCCCGTACGCGACGCTAGTCATCCGGACTTCGCCCAGGGAGGGCGTTTGCCGCCTTCGGGGCCGTCCGGCGGAGTTGGAAGGTCTCGACTCCAGAACGATGCGCCCATGCCTGCTCCCTTCGAGAGAGACAGCACGGACGTGGATATGGTACCTCCGGATAGGTTTGCACCGAGGGGTGTACCCCCGCCCAGAGGAAACGTGAGTGCGTATGACAGGGAACCTCGCGAGGTGCCCCAAGAGGCGCTGCCTAAAGGCCCCAGAGCCATGGCCCATCGGCCATCTAATGCAGACTATCCTTCAGTACCGCCTGCTCCGTCGCCGAGGCCCCCATATCATCCAAGGCAGATGCCCAGCCAGGATACGCCTCCACCACGTTTCAGAGAAGGAAAATCTCCTCCTCCGCACCTAGCGCGTATCGATACCAGAAACAATTTTCCAGTTCCCGCGGACAGACCGCCCAGGATGGAAGACAGTATGAGTCAGGGTCCTCGCAATGGACCCTCACCAGTAGTGGCTGATGCTCACAAAGAGGTCAGACACCGCCGTCCAGGAGTCTGTACATCAAGTCATTGACAGCGTTTCGTTTTGTCTCGCCAGTTTCCTCAAGACTTGCCGAGGGGTCGACGGCCACCCGAAGCAAGGCCGCCTCCTCCCGTTGATTCTACAGCGAAACCAAAGTTGTCGGGAACCAACAGTGTGCCCCTCGCGAAGATGAGGGCTTTTGGTTCACCAGCGCCTCCGTCCCAGTTGCCGGCAGAGAGCGGCTTAAGGCCTCCTTATGGTGATAGACCGGAGGTGGCGAGAAATCCTCCGAGACCTAGGTACCCTGATGACGATGAACCAAGGCATGCACCCTACGTTCGCGAAGTACGTGCTATCCCTCGGTTTCCCATGATTACCCAGCTGAACATCACCAGGAATATGGGACTAGATCATCCGGACCCATAGAAGGCTATGGGATGGACTACGGAAATCGTGGAGAGCCCAGGGCCCGAGACCCCCCAGTAGATGTGCCTGTAATGTATATCCCACCGATAACCGCAGCCTCTACTAACAACCACCTAGGGACGCAAATATGTTCCGTCATCTCAGCCCCCAATCATGGGAGGTCGAAGTTTACCCCGTGATTTTGCAAGAGATGGTCCTCGTAAAGAGGCACCTATCAATAGAAGACAAGTGAGGCAGATTATCATGTTCACAGACTCGAGATTTAAGACTTCGTTAGTCCCGATTCGACGCCCGTGATAGACGAGGGACGATGGAGTCCCAAGTCGCCGAAGATCGCGTGTGGACTCCCAGGGGCGTCACGCCTCCTCCAATGCAGCCACGTCCTGGTTACTCCCGTGAAACTGTATATCCACCTGCAACCCCGCCTCCTCCTTCCAAGGAACCTTCTCTAGTGTCCTCTTGGCATGACTCACACGAAGCGCTGGATGATTATGGTGCGGCCGTTCGTCCTGAAGAGCGAGGCTACTCGGACGGACGTCGCAGTTCATACCAGGGTCGTGAAGGTGACAGGGCATTCTATTCAAGACCACCTTCTGTCTCCGGGTTGGATCGTGGCAGGGATCATTATGGAGGGACAGACGGTCCTCGCGCTGCTCGGTCCAACAGTGTGGACGCTTATCCGCGAGGCCAGAACAGTAACCACTACGCTGAGCTGCCACCACAGCGTCAGCAAGACGTTGACCTGCCACCAAGGCCTCAACCCGATCGTCGACCGCTGTATCCCGAAGAACCGGCTAAGACGCGGTATGATGCACCTGACAGACCGACAGTCGAGCCCAGACGCGGTACACGCTGGGACCGACCTGCTGGAGAGCCTCCGCGTCAGGGTGAGCCATCTGTTGCTACTCGTCCTGACCGTGAAGATATGGAGAGTGCACCGGAGAAAGGAAGGGCCGCGGATCAAGATCCTGAACTATCGCGAACCTCGAAACCAGTCCGCATCCGCCGACCCCAACCCTCATCTCAGCCACCCGCGACCTCGGCGTCGCTGTCCGCAGAGCGCCCGCCGCCGCCCACAAACGAGAGATATCTTGGCAACAACGATCGAGAAGGAAGATATCTCGACATGCGCGGTGATAAGGGGAACTATGAACGACCTAATATGCAGCGGCGTGGAGGGTCTTTGCTAGAGCGGCTGTCTGCTGCTCCTGCAACGCCCGGTGCTGCCACTCTGCGGGATAGGGTGCAATTTGAAGAACATCGGGACCCGGAAGCCGATTCCGGAACGTCCGGGTTCGAAAATTTCGGGGATGGGCATGAGGATATCCTTGCCGATCCGGCTGCTAAGAGATTCAAGAAGCGCCCCGGGAAGTCAAAGAGAGGACGCCGCGGTGTGCCCTGAATTGGAGTGTCGATGTAGCAGAAATGAAAACAAGGTTGTTTACTTGGAAATCGGTGTCATCATTCTATAAACCAACAGAATTGTATCTTTTGGCCGTATCTCTCAGCCACACCTTGGATGTGGCCTTAGCCGGCCCTCAGAAGGGCCTCAACTCTCGGCGTTCGCTCCCTTGGATGGCAGATCCTGTCCACTCGTTGGACGCTCGCATTAGACGGTAGTAACAGAGGCATTGCCGTTCCACCATTGGATGCCTCGTGTCTTCTGCAGCTGAGCCTCTACTCTCTGCTGTCTGCATTCGTAGGAGTGGTCCTGTAGGGCTGCGGCAGGGTGCTGTGATCCTGCACTTTTCAAGAGCGCTACGGCGGCGGACTTCGCGCTTCAGCCTCCGATGCTAAGGATTTACGCCACCCATGCTAGGGATACGGTTGATGTAAGCTTCGAGGTCGAATTCACACAGTAATTGCAGGCACCTTTTACATCGATGCAAACCATCAGTGTCGTCTGTCAAAGGAGCCTTAGGTGCTACGCGGGCGTTCCATCTGGCCCGAGACTCCAGACGGCATGTCAACCACCTCATCTCCAACTGAGTCTCTGAAAGGTCCCTCTCAAATGCGATAGTTTGGAGGAGTTTCTGCTGACTCGGTATTCGACTCGTTACAGGTGATTCAAGAACCTTGCTGCCCTTGTCTGGGAGAAACTCGGAAGAACATCTTCGGGCCTGGGAGCTCCCGACTTTCTGAAAAGGCTTGATTGGCCAGTTCGGGACTGATGCAAGGGCCGTGAGTCTTTTGACTTCACAAGGACGCGTTTAGCTCGTCAGCATAGGGTCCGCCAACTCAGTCAAAGATTTCGTGCACTGCGTTGCTGTTATTCTCATATCAAATCTGGATTGGTCGCTACATGAAGAGATTTTGCATCGGCTTGTACTTTTACGAAGGTAGGTCACTAGGCCATCCAGGCCGCTGTAGAGGATAAAACTTGGAGCATTCCCTATACACTACAATGGCAATTAGGGCGCGGCCATCCTAATTGCCGAACCCAAGTATTCCTTCCCTTGTCTATGCGAAGTCTGACGCTGGAATACACTATTCAATTTTGCTGCGGAGGGCTCCCACCCTCCAGAGACCCGACGGGAATTCGTATTTCCTGCTAACTCGCAAGAGCCACTGCGTCCGCGTAATCTTCGGAACTCCCCAGGACCCGCGGCGCCCTTCACGACGTTGCAGACCCAGTGGATCTATTGCTATCAATACAATACAGTGACGATGATGCGATGCAGACACAGCTAGGTTACAGCTCCGAGGGTATCGCCAATGATTCCAGGGTCCATGCCCTCCTCAGACCCTTGCGAATAGCCTGCGATTCTGGATCACTCGAGCGGCGCCAATGATCATCCCGCCAGCGAGAACCATGACGCCCGTGAATATAATAAGACTATTGAAGTTATGCTGGTCGACAGTCTTGACGAACGCCCCTGCTGTGGGCGTTCCGACTAGCGCTGCTACTGCAGCGATCATATATACAGAGCCTAACATAGGGATGCTCAGCATCCTCTGGGTGGCTTCTACGATGGGATAAGACGTACCGACTCTGGCGCCGTACACCTCCATGGGTGTGATGGTCGCGATGTAGGCTGGGAGAAGCGTGACGAATGCACCCGACCCGAGGCCGTACAGGGCGCTGAAGATTGTGATGGGGACCGGCCCCCTCGAGGGCAGCCAGAGGCTCAGAGAGAAAACACCAGCCATGACTGTACAGGGCACCAATACGTTCAAACTGAAGAAATAGTCGTGAGTAAGAATGCAAGGAACGGAAGACGGAATAGCATAAGGAAAGGAAAGGTAAGAATCCGCCACAGCAAGCACAAACTGGCTCATGTACTGAGTCCCACACATCGTGCGCAAAAGCATTTCTCCGCGGTGACAAAACTACGATCAGGTTGAAGAGCCGATCTCAACAGCGGGCCGGACAAGACAACTAGATTGACTGTTGAAGGCCGGACGTTAAGTCCAGACGCTCCACCAAAAAAGAAGAAAAAAGAATGCAAGGAACGTTGCACCATACTTACACTCCGAACTTGTCCGCCACAAGCCCTGGCAGTACCCGGGACGGAAAGGAGGCAGCGTTCATGATCGGGAGCAAATACTTTGCCAGGCTTGGGGATACACCCTCGTACGTGCCGTAGACTTGAATGTAGAAGAAGGGGATGAAGAGGGCGTAGAACGTCCTAGTTCCTCGTTAGCATCATTCCCTTGTCAGCACTCTGGAGCCCAGACGGGGAACGTACAAGAAGGAGCCCACAGCGGTCAGCGCATATCTCGGGTCCCTGAACCCGCCAAGGTCGATAACGCTGCTCCAGGCGATATGGCCCTTATGTGGCAACCTCCCTCGTATCGTCAGGCATGAAACCGTGAGGCATGCTAGACTAAGGAAGGCCGAGGTTCTGACCGCCCAGCCGAAACCGATCCGAGGGATGAGACGCTGTAGCATGACGGGGTACACTACGCCTCCTATCGAGCTGCCTGACGCGCAGATGCCGATCGCGAACGCCCGCCGGCGTCGGAACCAGTGGGCCATTACTGCCAGTGCTGGATTGAACCTTGCGTGATTGTGTAAATCAAGACCGACAATTGCGACAATTCGATGCGCACTCACACCATGGATATGCCGATCCCGAAGAGCACGCCCTGTGAGAGGAAGAACTGGTAGGCTTGATTCTCTTGGCATATGGACACCATCATCATGGACAATACTACGAAGAACGACCCGACGGGTAGCAAGAACTGCGAGTGTGGTCAGCTGGAATCTGGGTCATCGCGCAGAGAACCTTACAGCCGATCCGTATGCGTCGAATACCCGTCCCACGACGGGACCAAGACCGTAAAGGAAGAAAAGTTGCAGAGCTCCGATGAGCGAGATGACGGAAGGGGAGGTGGAGGCGAGGAGGGTCGTCCCGTAGTAGTCTTGGAAGACGCCCTGGTACCCACTTAGCGTTTCCAAAGCCCCGAGTTTCACGGTGCGCTCACATATGCATTCACTGTCCCGAATGTGGAGAATAGGGCTAGGTGGCAGCCGAGGACGCAGAGCCACGCGCGGGTGCCGCCGTCGGGTGGGGGATCGAGTATCGGATCGCCTTTCGTGATCACGACTTCATCTTCCTCAAGTGCATCTGAGGGCTTCTCTTCAAATTTCTGCTCTTGAGCGGGCGAATCGTCTAGGATGACTATCTCAAGTCCTGGGGGTATTACACGATCCGACATATCGGGTGGATAGTGGTATATGAGAGACGTAGAGCTCTTGAGGAAGCCGGAGGATCGTAGAAAACTATTCCTGGTCACACCCAGAGAGATTCGCGAAGCCAGTATACATCGGCATGAGCGAGGACCTTTCCCTCGATTAATGAACGTGGTAGAAAGAAGCTCACAGTAAGTACTTTATTGCAAAACTTCGCTGGAAAGGAGACCGGGCGCACGGTGCCTCGGATGCTGGACAAGATGGACAAGAAATGAGTGTCTAATGCAGCGTAGAATTGGGCGTGCGCGATCGGTCAGCGTACGTCAACTGGCTTTATGCGAGCGCACTCCCCGAGAGCAAGTTCGCCGCCCAACAGTCCATGTAGGAGAGAGATGCTCCGAGGCTGGTTATACACCGAGAGAATCTGAAAAGGGATGCCGGTGCAGCGACGACCCGAATGTCGTCGTTTGCGGGAAGCCTGTGTATATATTTTGGGCACTCTTGATGATCACCTCGGTCAGCACCTCGGGCGACCATGAAGTACGGAACCAGATGCTCGGAAGGGAAGTCGTTAGACAGCTATGGTGCAGGCCTTGTACTGTATTTCGGGTGTTTCAAGTGGCTGGAGGCGTGTATACGGCGGAACCTGATACTCGCTTCAATTCCCGCACGGGCAGACGCACGACATTGTGGTATATTGCAGCAGAGCGCTCCTATTAATAATAAGTCGGCCTTTGGGGGTAGAGCGGATGGACGCTCGCAGTCAAGAATTATGATTGAAAGATGGAGAACCAACGAAATGGATCCACAACTACGTCTCGGGGAATCCCGGCGCCGTACGCAGGTCAGTGTGTATATAAACAAACCCCATAAAAGGTCAGTAATATCTCAAAGACTCAAACGGCGGCGTATCCGTCGAGCTGTGTAGTGCAAGAAGATGAAAAACAACCCGAGGTTATGTAAAGATATTGGTGTCTTTGACGGGCTTCGTGGCGCAGCTGAGTGACCAATAGTGCCGTAAAAGTCTGAGCGGCGTTATTCCCCGCCACCGTTTTCAATCCTACCTACGCCTTTTTTGGCGACGATGAACGCCACATTCAACTTCAATACGGGCACTATACTGCTGCCCGAGTCATTACCGACGTCGAGCGCCCAGGACGCTCGAACGCGCGGTTGTTTTTGATTCCGCCTTCATCCAAGCACTGGGTGTCGTATTACCTAGCCTGAGCCCCTCCAGTTGCAGACTCTTTTCAGGTTCCTCAAGTTCGTGGCCTTTACCATGGCGCTCCGGTCTTCATTCTACCTTCTAGGGACATGCTGGGACGCATTGCGCCCATCCGGGTTCGGGCAAACGCCCCCGAAGCAATTCGTACCTCCCACCAATACTGAACCAGGTAGCCATCAAAGACACCCCCGCAGCGAAATCAGTTTCAAGGACTTCCTCAGTGGTTGCCATATTCTCACTCCGCGCGAGAACATCACGACCCACCGCGTGCTCGCCCGACGAGCCCATGACCGCGCTTAGGCTCCTTCCGTCCACGCCGGCATTGCTGCTGGTACATACCAGTATGGATCCGCGGTATCCTATCTTTCCTCCGACTAGTGCGGGAACGTGTTTCATGGAACACCGGGAGCCGTAGGCTCGCTGTGTCTCGTTCTAGAAACAGCTTGTGTACTCGCTTCTACCGTCCCCGACGTGGCCGCCTACGCTTTCGTTGCCCACCAGCGTACCCCGACTGCCTCTCAGAACCGCTAATTCTCCCGCGAAGTGCGGCATTCGAGCGTATTGCTCGTGGCATCGGGTCCTTTAGCAGTCGAACCGATATAATCAGTCATTTCGGGATCACCTGGGGTAATTGACTTGCATTGGCGACGTTTCCTGTTGACTTTCACTTGGAAGCTACACTCGTTATCTGCTGTAAGGGCTGGCGTACCCGTCCGAACTCAGGTGCGCGTATTCCACGCAGAAAGTCTTGAGTAAGGATCGACAGCATGGGGCCTCGTATGACACAAGTCTGGCGTGGCCCGTGCAAACTCTCCATTATTTCTCGCAACTGGGATCGCCTTCCGTGAGCTTCCCTTGCTACGTGTCTTAAACGAATAGACATCTTCTGCAGCTCCATGAATGAAGATCGACAGAATCAAGAGCTTCCGTCATTTATGACACCGTCCTCCGCCTACAGATACGAGGATCCGTAGAAGTCTCTGGGCCTACGCAACTGATGTGACTTCCGCTGGCGGCGGAAGGCGTATGGCCTATCTCCAGATTCTTACAGGAACTCCTCTAGATCCCTTGAAATCAAGTACACTCACATCGTATGGCTCGTAAAACCAGTCTACCGTGACGCTTGGATCCGCGACTATCCACGCAGGTTGCTACGGCACTACTGCATCTAATGAGGTTTGGCGGGCCAGTCCCTCTTGGTTCCTACCGTTAGATAAGGGTCTTGCGGACGCTTTGTTACAAAATCGATTTTTACAAGTGATACGAATCAGGAATTTCATCCAGGAACGCCACTCTCGTAGGGCCTCCCGAGTCTAGGGAATACTGGATCAACCCCACCGACGCCAGGGACCATAACGCCGCAGAGGCTTCTAATAACTCTATAGTTACGCCCATCGTTACGCTTCAGCCACTTTTGACCTGTCCATATCATACTGGTGTCCAACTAATTCTACTTCCAGCCGGTCGTCATAAGGCCGATGAAATACGTTATTAGGCGAGTGCTGATGTCGTCTGATATATTTCCTTCTCATTTGATCGCAGCATGCGGGGTGGAAGTCCGTTACTGGTTGTTAAATTATTGTGTTGTTTGTTTGCAGCGTGCAAAAAATAGGTTGGACGAGCTCTAGCCGCTGAGGGAGTCGCAGTGGGATATCCGTAGTGTATGCCGTACGACGCACAGCTGCCACCTTCACCGCTCGGTATGCGTTGACGGTTAGTAATAATACCAGCCTGTTGGGTACCTAAGATTCACCATGTTTCCGACGGATATCCGAACCTAGGAAGTCTGGTGAGCCGTATCATAATAGTAGTGATTTTGGCAATCTGATTGAGTGCGATTTTAACAGGTACCATAACGCATTTTCTCTTCGTCAGACCATTGACCGATAACTTTGCTCACTTTGCTCATGCTCATGCCTTGCTCCGGCTGGAACGTACACTGGGTCATACGGCTGCAATATTGCTGGATGATAAGGAGCGGTCACCGCGATACTGCAAATCTTGCGGAAGAATCTCCAGTCATGTCATGGAAGATTGGCGGTCGAAGCGGAATCGAGGATCCCAGCCCAGGCGCCTAAGGAATCCATTTGAGTTCCTTCTCCAACTTGACAGGTGACAACTTCGCCTACCAAAAGATTGGCGGCCTTTGACTAAGTACGGGCCTGAAGAGTTTGGCCTGAGCGGGCTAGTGGGTTTTCTACTGCAATGTATTCGCATGTCCAGTGCGTTAAGAGTTATTCACCTCCTTTAAAGGGTATCCCCGACGCTGCCCGACTGGGTACCTTACCCGATAATCGTGCCTCCCAACCGATCACAACATGGTCGAGTTGAAACACAAAACTGCAGTGAATGTAGCCTATGCCAATTTTGCCTTCGGCTGTCAGGATGGAACACCGTCGACTCCACTAACGAGCTCACATATCAAGGGAGCGATCCCTGGCAAGAGCTCGCCATCGCCCAGGGCTTCTCATCCAGCGATGCCGAGTACCGCTCAGTGTCTTGCTGCATCTTTCTCCTGCCTTCGTCCGGACGCGGAGGTTCTTGTTGAGCGACTCTACGCCCTCGCTGTGTTCCGCGGGCTCCTCGGTACCGCTACCAATGCCTTGTGGACCTTCTTCTTGTTCACCAAGTCCGATTTCAAGACAATCATGCTACCGATAGTATGTATCGAACATAGGGTGGACGTCTTTGAACTCATCAGTTGTGTTAGGTGGCTTCGGTCCTTGCCACCTGTCCAGATCTGCGCATAGAGAACCTCGCTTTCTCTATGTTTTGGACATGGCTACATTTGCTGCAATTCTGCACGTCTAATCAGACGCTCAGCGTCGACGAGGACGCAGCGAACAAGTCCTGGCGTCCAGTACCTTCCGGCAGGATCTCGCTCGCAAGCGCGAAGGCGCTGCGCTGGTGGACGGTACCCCTCTGTCTTCTCCTTTCCCATCAGAAAGGCGCCCTCCTCCCGAGTATGTCGTTGACTGTAATGACGCTCATGCACAATGAACTCGGATGGCATTCTGGATGGTTCGGGAGAAACCTATGTTGTGCTCTCGGATACATGGCCTTTGAGTGGGGCGCAATTTCCTTAGCCTCGTCTTCTGGGCTTCAGGGTAGGGATCATCTTCGATGCTGATCAACAGACGATACTAAAGAGAATACAGGTATATCAGCTCAAGATCAATCGAACGTTATTTACGCCATCGGACTCTCGGGTGTCCTCTTAATGACCACTGTTCACACACAAGATTTCAAGGACGTCGTGGGAGACCGAATTCATAATCGCAAGACTCTTCCCATTGTTATGCCAAAAGCCTCACGTATATTCATCTTGGTGGCAATGACGGCTTGGTCGCTTTTCTTACCGACGTTGTGGGGAGTTCACCCACTAGTGGCGATCCTTTTCGCTGCCTTGGGTTTCCTTATAGGCGTGCTATGCTACGCATTTCGATCAGTGAAGGCAGACCAGATCATGTATCTTGTTTACAACGTACGTGATCACGCGTACAATCCTCGAGAGCCTACTGAGATTCCAAATAGTTCTGGCTTGGATTGGCACTCATGCTACCAGCACTTGGTGATCGATTTGCTTAATAGTTCCTGTGAGCGTTAATTTGTCATTTTCAAATGCTGCCAGCGAAAAAGACTGACATGTCTTTACACAGTTAATACTCCGGATACTTGCTTATTGTCCGTTTCGGAACCCGCATTACTAGCTACAATACTAATCACGCCTACCTTATGAACCCCAATGTCACGAATTAAATGATGGAAGTAGTCGTACGCGTGTAATCCTGTGGGGGTTGTATGATAATCCAACAAACTATCTTCTTTGTCTATACCACAGCAAAGTTGGCGAACCTTAAGGTTAGGGCTTCCATATATAGGCATCTCGAATTGTAGCTGACATATTACTACAGCCGTTTGCAGTTCGATGGGCCCATTTCTTGAAAATCATTTACAGTCGGACCATGTCGGAGAGTGGAATTCAAGTCTCCGGCCCCAATATCAGACCATTTGGACTTCTTTTAATTCCTGGGACGTCCCTGGCACCATGTCCGACAAACTCCGACTATATGTGACTTTCTAACGATCTGCAAACGGCTGTAAGCACCTGTTACACCCACTGCACTCAACTGCAGAGGGCCCCTGTCAGATTTATGTGCAGCTGGACTAGCTTCGTATGGACACCTGAAACGCTTGGTTCCCAGCTAGAACTGGTATGCGCGACTTGCAGCACCGTCATGGAAGACCAGTGTCATTCTCCGACCCGGGTCGGATCGAGTATCTATCGGACAGGAATGCAGATTACAGATCATCACTTCAGAAAGTCACATATAGTCGGAGTTTGTCGGACATGGTGCCAGGGACGTCCCAGGAATGATATTGGGGTCTCGGGGACTTGAATTCCTCTCTCCGACATGGTCCGACTGTAAATGATTTTCAAACGGCTGTAACGACCATAATCATTGGCAATTTGATCTTCAGGGTCTCCCGGCACCGAAGCCCCATCCCCGGCTATCATCGTTACAGCCTTGTCAAAAGTACTCGTAATAGCTCCAACACGCAGGAGTAGGTCAACTTTCATGGTTCCTCCGGTATGGCTGTCTGAGCTAATGTGTTGCCCAGATAATTAATCGGCCCGTCTGACGCTGCATGTGGCTCAATGGGATAACATTCAGAGCGAGCATTGTAGGAGCAATTGCAATCCTAAACTTCCACGTCATGAGCGAGCCACTGAACAACGTTATTCAGAGAGCTAGACCCGATTAACCGAAGGAACCTTTACGAGTAGCCCACGCCGCAATGGCCACAAAGGCAATAGCGGTGTGGTTATCGTACGATGACGAGGATAAGACGCCTGGGTAACTATTAACCATACTGACTAGCTAGGCAGAAGTCAGTCAACTCGACGCACCCCTCGTGCAAGTGGCATCGCCAAGCGAGCCGCCATCCTGAGGGACAGTAGACATTCGCACCACACGGTGACACATACCCAGGCTAAACTCGAAATGAATCCGCGGTGGCACCTTTTCCATTGCACAGAGTGATGATTGATATTTTACAGGTCGTGGAGTGTGACTGGGATGTGCGTTCGAAGGACCGAATTGCCAAATGATCGTAGGGGTTTATTGTTATGTCTGCGTTTCAGTTTCTTTCCTTTGCAGCATCTTCAGCTGAACAGTCCTTTCAGCCGTCCCTTGGCAAACGTATCCTGCAAGGGGATAGACCCAGATACTCCAACCTTCTCTCCTTTCCGCCATTTCTCTACCAGGGTTTTCGCCTCAACAGGAGCTACCGTGGGATCCCTTGTCCCGACGGTGATGTGCAGTCGATCCCTTACTTCGGGAGGCAGCTTCGATACATACTCGTGGCCCTCCTGCTGTTGCGCGTCCCCTTCTGATGCAACACGTAGATCCTCAACAGTGATAGCCATAATTCTGTCGTTCCACACCACATGCCCGAGCTTGAACTCGAAGAGCGGTCCCGTCGGTAGCCGATAGATATTCATGCACCGTTCCCATAGGTCCGATTCGGCAGGCAGCGATTTCGAGTGGACGATGGTAACATGCGGCCGTTTGGAAATCCTATTCTCATCTCGCATCGCCTCGTACAGTGTCCGCGCCGACTCGGGGACATCGAAGCTCCCACCCTCCATGATCTTGCTCAGCAAGTCTTCGCAGTCGACCTCGGGGAGTAACCCGAAGTACCGAGGCGGACCCGGCGTCTTCGCCTTCTTCCCCTTATCCTTTCCGTTGTTCTTGACCCGAGGTGCGTAGCCCTTCGCCGCCTGAAGCGCCTCCTCAATCTTCTCCGGAGACGGTCGAGGCACGCCCAGGATCTTCACGCACGCATCCACGACTCTATTGACCGCCTGCTCCAGCGTATCGTCAAACTTCATCTCGACCGACACGTCCACCTCACCGTCGTCCAGCTCCTCGGCATTATGCAAAAACTGCCATATAACGTCTTCGTGCGTCTTGCCGAGCGTATCGGCACGGAGAGTCTGGTGGTTCTCGCCGCGCTCCAATACCCTGTCGCCACATATCCTATGAATCGTCGCCAGAGGCTGATCGAACGACCAGTTGAGCGCCATCAGCCTCACGCGCGGCCGGAATGACTTGGTCGCTTCGCGTAGCTGTTCCCGATGCTGCCTAAGATGGTTGTTCCTGGATCGCACCGCACCTTGAATCAGTGAAAGCAGGAGACAGACGCCGTCGATCCTTACTTGTCGGCAATCACGACATCGTGCGTCTTCAGGAGATCTACGACGTTCTTGATGAACACCGGAGCGGCTTTCTTGGCCTTAACATCGTCGCTCTGCGTGTGGCCGAAGCCGAACAGGTGAACAATTGCGACCGCGATAGCAGTTTTACCTGTATCCGATGGTGGACATTGTAAGTCGTCGCTTAGTTTGCCTCGGAAACATGGATCTTACCGCACCCTGGAACAGCCACGGGGACAATGATGGTCTTCCCAAATTCCCTATCTTGTTGGCCCGTGAGACCATATTCATCCGTCTTCTGCTCCTTCTCGTCTTTCAGCCCCTTCTTCCCCTCCTCTCCCTTCAGCCATTCTAGGAATCTCTCCCTCGTCCTGATAATCCCGTGCCCGCTGGTATACCCGTCAAACTGTTTTCGATCCCGCTTGATCTCCCCGATCACCCAATTCACGTACAGCCGCGTCTCGGGCCGTTTCATCTTGGCCTTGCTGACGCTGCCTGGGCTGAGCGAGCCCTTGGACAGCAGCGTCTTCGTCACCTCCCGCCAGTCGCGGTACATCATGTACGGCTCGTCGAACTTCACTTTGAAGAAGAAGGTAGAGCCGGGAGGGTACGGCGAGAGCGAGGGCGGCTGCTTCTCTCCCTTTGTGGGAGGCTCCGTGACGTGCGTGCGCACCACGAAGCCTTCGACGGGCTCGCCATTCCAGAACCCGGTCTTGGAGACTTCGTCGGTGAATTGCTTGACCTCAGGGATGCTCTTCAGTGTGGTGTAGGGGGTCTCAATGAAGCCCCATTCGCGCGCGAACGAGGTTACAGTGTCTGGGGGCAGAGTCTTGAAGGCCCGCGTCGATTCGTTGATCCCGTGGAGGTGCAAGCCGGTCTTCTCGGGCGGGTAAGGGAGGACGTGTTCCTCAAATTCGTCGTCACAGAGCTGCAAGGATGTGAGTCACTCATTAATGCGCTTCGTTGTGTAGATATCAGATCCTACCTCGGCCACGGCAGTCCAGTTATTTTCCCACAGCAACTTGGCCATCTGCTCTTCAGTTTTGCCTGTCTTTTCGAATTGCTTCCGGAGCCACATTTCGCCTCTTCCGGCGTGGCTCTTCGTCGCGTCAGTTCCTGGTCCGACAGAGTGCTTTGATGTAACGAGTAGTTTTGTCGGAGTCAAGGGAGCTATGAATATGATACAGCCATTTGATTTCAGAGTCAGGGTGTATGGTGGCGCGGTGTGTGACTCGAGGGAGGACCACTGTACATAGCACGCAGTCAGACTGTTGTAATGGAATAATTCAGTGGGACAAAGGACAGACAACGGACAGGGAAGACCAATATAGCTCTTTGCAAGGTATACGAATATCTAATATAAGGCTTGGTTCCACATGGAAGTTGCGCTCACCGTCGTCCATGGCACCTCGCCAATGTTGAAAAACTTATCGTATCCCCGCGCGACGATACGATGCACGATCCCGTCCCCTTGATCTTCTATGTCCTCTGTGAACAGACCTCTCGCCAAAGTCGGAAAAGGACAGGGAATATTGTTATACTTGTACTCATTCATTTTCCAGCTCCTGACGCTAATGTCCGGTCGTGCCGGCGCCTGGTACACCGTCGACTTTACGAGTTTGGGCGACTTTTTCGAAAGCCTCATCAGCTCTTCGATGAGGTCCGAATCGTCCTTCGAGTACTGCGACGACATGGCGGGAGTCCGGAATTGACGGAAAATGAAGCGTTTCAACCCTTGGCGAATGCCAGCCTGAGTTGCAGCGAATGTCGGTTGGAACGGAATGTTGTAGCGTAGAACCAGTGTAGTCTGGAAAGATTCGCACTCGGCACTAAATCAGATTCTGCAGCGTTATGTACTATATATACGCGAAAGCTACAATTCTGACGTCACGATATAAATTAGAGCTCGGTGAATTACTCTCTAAGGGCCTGTCCCCGACTCCCACGGTAGTTGGGAGGAGGGTTCTGTCGGGAAGAAATGGTCGCTCCACCATACAACTCGTGAAGCGCCGTCTGGCGCCGGCAACTTACCCCTACTTTGTTCAAGAAATCGACCCTGAGAACTTGCACTAAGTTCAAGATGTTGCGGCTGCTACAGGGGGTCCACAAATCATCGTAAGGAGACTATTTCTACCATGTAAGATAATACAAAGGATATTGTTAGTAATATAGGAGGTAGAATGCCCTGTGCTGTTGTCTCCTAAGTAGTCTAAGAGATACTTAGCCACTCTCAAGAATGCCTAATGGTGCATGTCTGTTGCCTGGACATCTGGCATCCACTTCATATCATGGTTTTATCTTACAGTCTGTTCGGCCTCATAAGCCATGGAATGGCATGGATTTTCTTAATTCTACTTATTTGTAAATTGTCCATCACAGACTTACGTATGGCATGGAGACCCAGAAAACTTGAATGATTGAATACCCATGTTAGATGGAGTGCACATACACTCAAATCCTTCTCAAGCCATGACATACAACACTCAAAAATTCTGAGGTACAAGGATCTTTGCTTAATACTATGCGCTCCCTGTAGCTCTAAGTTCTAGCTCACAATAGGCCTTCATCTGTACCTGGTGGCATCCACAAACCAACAC